GAAGTACTCGAATTGTAAATATTGTGGGTTTACTCTCCAACACACCGGTGTGCTGAACTTGTAATGAATCAGCACGTTGTGTTACCATGACAAACCTTACTAGTTGCGTGTCGGGTGGTGAGGGGTGTAACGATATTTATATTTGCGCGATCTAATCCCAAAATAAAAGCCTGTATTATGGATAATATTGTTCGCGGAAACCGACTACGTCTTCAACTAACCACCTCAATGTAAAATTACAGTTCTTGCACTGACATCAACATCGGCCATACGAAGGAGAACAGACCATAGTCTCAGTTTACCCTCAACCCGGATTTGAACTTGCAACAATTCTAAACCGGAGTTTCACAACTCGAACCACATCACCAGCTGGGACCCGTCTCAGGTCACTCACGAGCCTGTGCAAGGTTCACGGACGTTGCAGTTATTTCCATTTCAAATTGCGAACAATGCACAAAACAAACGGGCCCCGAAAGGCAAGCTCTGCAGAGTTGTCGCACAAAAGGTCATGCGAGTGCTTTGGAAATGACGGAGCTCTCCTTTGGCTGGGTGACAGAACGCGGCTGTTGCCGCCTAGCAGGCAGAAAGCGTTGATTTTTTAAAAAAAAATCCTTTATATTAAGTTCGCTTGCTTGCGCGCTTACGACCGTGCAAATATTTCGGTCGTTTTTTAACCCACTTCCTGTGATCCAATCGAGCTGACATTTTGCACACAGACTCGTTGTGCGTGACAATTTATTTTCGTGAAAATTTTTTTCCATAACTTTACACTTTTTAGGGAAATTTTTTTTATATTTAATTACCAATTGCTTAATGGTGGCAGGCAATCATCTGACCCATAGGTGGCAGCCATCTCAAGCCAGAGGACGAGAGGACTCTAGCCGCCACGCATATAAAGGATTTATAGTGAAAAACTTTGTTTTTACGGGTTAATTTTTTACCCATCAAGTGGTTCCATTACATCGTTGGCACGTTACGGTCGGGGAACAGAGCCCCCAAGTCGCCGTCGCTCATCCGTGCCCCGCGGTACAGCGGTGTGCATCGCTGCGTTCACATCCGCTTCAAACGAGACGCAAACAGGTGTCAAAAAAAAAACAAAAGCACGCAGCCATTGGTGCATATGACCAAAAAAAAATAAAACCCAACCGCATCAGCATTTCCTGAAGTGCAGTGTGGTCATAGGTCACCATCAAAGTCAATTTGAGTAAATGGGGCCGAATGACAGCAGCAGCGGTGATGCATCGATTGACAACTGTGGACCAGAGGTGGCAAACGGGTTTTGATTCCTTACCCGTACCCGTACCCGGCTGCACCAGGGTCGCAAACGGGTACCCGTACCCGTACCCGGCCGGGTACGGGTACCCGTTCCCTATTCGTACCCATACCCGAAATGAGTGACAAACGGTTACTCACCGGTGACTCACAGTCTACCCGTACCCGGCCGCAGCAGGGTCGCAAACGGGTACCCGTACCCGTATCCGGCTGGGTACGGGTAGCCGGGTATCGGGTAGGGTACGGGTATCGGGTACCCGGTTGCGACCTCTGCTGTGGACCGGTTTCATTCTTATTAGAACTCATCGGCACAGCAAAGTCACCAGTGCCCCACTGTTGTAAAGTCTACCGCAGGCGGACAGTGTTCACAAGTTGAGCCTGCTTGGACAAAGTTTTCGTTCATAACAACAGTTGTTCGAGTAAGATCGTGTTACTATAAATGTGTTGTTAAAACCGCCACCAACAAAAAACCCCTTTATTTTGGATATTGGTCGCGAAAGCCTACGTGTTAATATTTTCGTTGTGTGCTCACATGTTAGTAAATTTGTTTAGTCGGCTTAGCACCCGATTTTACAATTCTATTGTACATATCTATTTTTTGTTTAACAATCCCACATTGTGTACAACCAAAGCGAGCTAAATAACATTAACGGTCGAGCGAGTGAACATAATCACAATGGTCAGTGTTTCAGGATCATGGTCTCATCAACTGCACGTCCTCTGGAGATGTGTTCTCATTGCTATTTTACAAAATATACAACGCACTTGTTTTTTTTTATATATAAAAAGGAATCATTAAAATAAACGAAAATTAAAAAGCATCAACTAAAGAGAGCAATGGGTCTTTAGTGTTGACCTATATGAAACGCGCGATTATTGTCATTTTCACAATACATGGCAGTGAACTTAATGTAACCGAATACTAAGGCAGATTAATTCTAGATTTGAAGCTTTCGTGACTGCAAGGATTCATACTCTTAGTTCTTTCGGTAAAGTCACGTAGGTAAAAAATGAAATTAAAATTAATAAAAATAAAAAATAAAAACAATAAAATCACGACGTTTCGGAGGCAACACAAGCTTCCGTCTTCAGGTGAAACTGTCACAGCAAAATATCTGTATCAAACGTCGTGATTTTATTTTAAATTTTTAATAATTTTAATTAATTTTTTTACCTACGTGACTTTACCGAAAGAACTAAGAGTACTAAGGCAGATTGTCACTTGGATTTAGAATTAAAAAAAATAAAATCGTTCATTCAGAATGAGTTTTGGATCAAATATCTGTATATATTATTAGGATTTCAGATTTTTTTTTTTTTAAACGACAATGTCGGATTTGCATTTGATCATTTTTTAACATACTTTACATGACGCAATGGAGCATGTTTGTGTGAACAAGAGCGACATCACGTGAAGCCAGCCACATCTGGCGGCAAGAGAGCAGACGTGATGCCGCTGTAGTGATATCGACTTCCACGAAATAGTTTTGTTTATCCGTTCGCATCGTTTGAAATCTCGTATCTTGGCCTGATTTTCGATCGTTTACCCTCAGATTAATCCAAATAGCGGGGTCGCCACCGTTATTTCCTACATGTTTACGTTACAGGTTTATAGTGGCTTCAAACGAGTGCACTACTTTTTGTTTTCCACAATACTCCATATCATACAAAATAAATGCACAGTGCAAATTAAAGTGACATAAACAAATACGAAGCCGACGCAACTCTCCAAGCATCTTGGTTCATATCAAGGGCAAATTAATACAACTCGGAGACTCATTCTTAAACGCAACCTATGGCCCTGCGATTGTGCAATTTGCCTATTCAATTAAACCAGTGATGGAATTACATCCGCTTGGCTCATTACATGCACTTGGCCGTGTCTAGATGTGCAATTCAAGCAGTTGGACTCAATTTAATTATCTTTAAAATGCTCACCCTCATTGCATTTCACTCGGAGCCCTGATGCTACACAGTGGTCAGGGCCGTAGTAATGTAATGTGATTTTTTTCACCTGACCAAATCTGGATAGCCCAGCTACTCTCTCAGTCACAGGTCAAAACTACAACGGACGTTGGTGACATTCTGAGTGGAGGAAAACAGATCTTACATCTTCTTGGTTCTTTCGGGAAAAGTCACGTGACTTTACCGAAAGAACCAAGAAGATGAATCCCTGCAGTCACGAAAGCTTTAAATCGAAAAAGATCTTACATCATTAGACCTCCTTTGCCAGTACCAAAATATAACAATAGGGGTGTTTCCCCCTTTTTTCTGGCAACAAAACTGAAACCTTTTTACAAGGCTTCATGTCTGCATTAACCACAATACTTGCAGTCAAAATGCAAACAAAAACACACACTATGATAATTTATGCATTGTCCTTGAAACTGATTGGTCCAAACCAAGGGACGGCTTTCTTTAGAGCCTCGACTTGGTGTGGTCCAATCAGTGTCAAGGACAATGCCAATATATTATCATAGTGTGTTTTGTTTGCATTTTGACTGCAAGTATTGTGGTTAATGCAGACGTGAATCCTTGTAAAAAGTTGTCAGTTTTGTTGCCAGAACAAAGGGGAAACACCCCTATTATTAAGACAGATCTTGACGGAGGTTTGTCGCACACAAGTCAAAAGTGTTTCTGCTTGAATGAGGGTCACAATCACTTTTATTGGTGACCTTCAGCCAGTGGTGTACATTCCACATTCCCATGGCAGGTGCTATTCCCGACACGTGAAAACTACTGGTCACGTGCCAAAATACGTATACTTATTGTGTTAGTCCCACGAGGATTAAAGATTGCGTTGAAACAACGTTCTGAACCCGTGCCCCTATTGGACATCTGTCAAAAAGAGCTTTATAGCTGATCAGATTCCTCCAGTATAAATACATTTTCCGATTCCGTTTTACTTGGGATTTGAACTTTGCGATCTTCCAGTCCGGAGCCGAGCGTATTGAACCCAGCCGCTCAGCAGAATGCGAAATGTGATCATAGTTAAACGCGGCCGACGAAACATTTGCATCGAACGTTGAATCACACATTGCTTTCTTCTGTAGTATTAATAGATTTTCCGTCACTCCCAACGGATTAATTTTTTACAAGGGATACTCATCTGCACCTACAAAAGTTGGCCAGGTCTGTATCTACGTGCACTGGCCGTAACGCCCGGCCACTTTGGCCATGTTTATAGCTGCCTTTTACACCAAGAGGCTACACAATTGAGATATTTCACCATTCTTAGAGTGACGTTCATAGGCACAGGGATCTGCACAATCTCATGAGGTCTCTCAAGAGTAATTTCTTCTGGCTGACGGTCTGCGACAAGGTTCGTAACTCTAGAGACAGTGTTCAGCTCGTGTGGTTGTTGGTTGTTTTTTATTCTTTAGTGTCACAGATATTACCCCAGTTGCTTTAATTCCCCAATTACACGCGGATACACGTCGGTGGTGTACGGACGAGCAGCGTTTGATAAACAAGGAATGCGTGAGCCAGCAGATGATCAAATAAATAAATAAATACACGGAGGCTACATTCACATCAAACGATCCGAGCGATGTGCGTCGAGGAATTGATCGCGACGATCGGACCGGATGAGTTGACAAAGTAGTCCCACGGCGCGCGAACTCCTGGCAGCTTGTCCAGCCGCCCTGCTCTGAACGGAAATCGCGAACCCCTCCCCCGACCTCCCCCCCCCCGCTCCTCCCGCGAGTCCACTGAGCCACCGCCACCGCGCCCCCCCCCCCCCCCCCCCGCCCACCAATGCCGCTCCGGCAAAGCGGAAGGCACCAAAAGAATCAGTTCTACGCATCTGCGCGTTGTTCTTTGTTGTTTGGTTTTTTGAGGCCACTAACCCCCTTGGCGTGACCCTCCGTGCGACCGCCTCAAATCTCCAATTTGGCCTCCTCGCTCCAGAAGCAGAAGAAAATAATTCCTCTCCGTGTGACCGCACGCTGACGTTCGTTGCAAATTGGCCTATACCAAACACTCGGGGGGGACGGGTGGGGGTTTCTATTGGCTGGGCGCTGGGCGAGGGAGGAGGTCATACGGAAGGGGTACGGCTGGGGGTCGAGGTGGTATGACCTCGTCGTCAGCCCAGCATCGGGCACAGGCTCGTCAAACGAGAGTGCCGGGTTTCGGGTCGCTGTCGCCCATCCACTGCAGGTCCCTGTCGTCGTCGCCGTCGCCGACGCCGCCACCGCCGTGACGGTGGTGGTCGTCGCCGTCGTCGAGGGTGGTCGCGTCGCTGTTCCTCCGCTGTCGGTGCTGCGCCGGCTCCGTGTAGAAGCTGCTGACGCGGCGGGGCAAAACGCAAGGAGCGCGAGCGCGTTGCTACAAAGCAACCTCGACGAGCAACTTGTGGCGAACGAGCAAAACTGACGCCTTGCTTCGCCGCAATAAATACGAAATTGTATCGCAGTCTGTCGGGCAGAGCTTGCCTTTCACACTCAAGTTAACATGCTGGGGATTTTTTGTTGTAACTGTACCAAGGCAACGATCCCCCCAGTATAGCCTCAATAGGATTTGGAGATCAGTGCGCCAACCGCTGCACCACCCTGGCCCAATTCACTGGCCGACAACTTCCGTGCAGTTTGAGTCGTCGTGATGGGTGGTCTGGAAGCCCTCCCCAGTAACTTTGGGGTGGGGCGGGGGATGGGGAGGGAGTTAAAACTAAAACAATTGTAGTTTATTTTTACCAGGTAAGGCCCATTGAGCTATGTAGCTCTTTTTGCAGAAGTGACCTGGCCACAAAGGACAGCTCAACAAAGCGGCTTATCTTCATGTGGAAATTTATAGCAGCGGAATACCCGCTGATTTTAAACGTGGAGGGAAATACCAGAAGGGAGAGAGACACGCAGACTCCAAATATATAGCAGGCATCAGGGTCAGGATCGAACCCACGACCTCCTGCATACCAGGTGAGGGAGTTAGCAGCTCGCCACCGTGGCATCAGGTTGGGTGGGGCAGATGCCATCGCTTGCTTTGGAGACGCATCCTACTCAAGTGGGGCTATTCAATGTCTAGGTCCATTAAAAAAAAACAGTTGACAGGTCGCTGGTGGGGGTCGGGGGCGGGGTGGGGGATGGGGGCGGGGTGGGGGGTGGGGGATGGGGGCGGGGTGGGGGGTGGGGGATGGGGGCGGGGCTCGGGGCTCACCGTCGCGGTGTATTGGGGATGGAGTGCCGGTGCGTGTACATCGCGGGGTGGTGGCCCGGCGGGGAGTGGTGGGAGGGCCCCATGGAGGAGCCGGGCGCGGGGCCTCGCTTGGGGATGAGCGGCAAGGTTGCTGCGGCAGACCACACGGAGAAACGCTCTTTCAGAATTCGCCGTTGTTGGCTGAACCCACTAGTCCGGTGTCATTCGTGAACACTGCATTTTTTTTCGAAAAATAGCCGGAAAATCATTCGCAGTTCCTGCAGATAATACCATTTTTATTACTGTTGTAATCTTCTGCGCGATGCTAGCGCGCGCGCGGGCGCGACGGCGCAGAACGTACCGGCGGAGACGGGGCACGGCGCGCGTCCGGCCCAGCCGCCCGATGTTCGGCCGTGCCGCGGCGCGGTGTCGTAGGTGGCGCCGTAGTGGCCGGGAGAGCCGTACGGCGGGGCCGACGTGATGCGGGGCTGCCGCGGCTGCGGGGAGGGGCAGCCGGGGGGGGCGGCGGCACCGGGGGGGGCGGGCGACGACGACGAGGAGCAGGAGGAGGAGCAGCAGGCGACGCGTTCCACGTACAGCTGATCGTTGCTCGACGTCGCGAACACGCGCTCCGCGCCGTCGCTAAACGCGGGGAAGTCGACGCCGCGCTTCTTGACGTACCTAGAGGAGGAGGGGGGTGCAGAGTCAAACGAAGCAGCGGGGTGGGCGAGTCTACAGCGGGTTTGGAGCCACTACGTTGGTTGGCACCGCTGGGATCGGCGGGTTCGATTAAAGCCAGTCGGACGCCCGCAATTAAGCCGAGTTCTCCGAGTGATTTGGCGATTTTCAGCCCGGCCAATCAAAAACACAGCATCGAAATCCCAGCCTTCCGAGATGTAAACATATCGGTTTGATCGCCACGCGACGAGCATCGCACTTGCCCGGCAGAGTGGGTGGGGGGAAAGTGCTGCCCTCTACTCCGTGCGTGCGCCGCCTCGCTCCAAGGGATTTTCAGAGCTAGCTCCGCGACATTCGTTCCCGCGGGCCATTCGTACTCCCAACACTCAAGGGGGGCTTTGCTCCGCCCGCGGTGAGAGATGCCGATGGATGCCTTCGACTTCACGGCACCGATCGCACGTTGCATGCGCACTGTCATCGCACAATCGTGATGAAATCGGGAGCGGCGGCGGTGGGGGTGGGGGAATATAAGCGATGATTAAAACGCAAGAGAATGACCACCGCTCCCGGTGGTGGCAGAGGAGCAAGAGGGACGGGCACGCCACGTACCACCTGTGCAGCTCCGAGGAGACGTACTGGCGGTGCGGTTCGCGGCGGTCCATTGGCAGCGAGTACTGCTGATGCTGCAGCATGTGTCGTCGCTGCTGATGCTGCTGCAGTGGCTGCTGCTGCTGCTGCTGATGATGATGAGGATGCTGGGTGTGTAGCAAGTACGGAGAGCCGGGCGCCGGCGAAAGAGACCGCTGAGTCATGGCGAGCGTGGTGACGGGCGAGAAGAACGGCACGAAGTGCCGCCCCCCTCCCCCCATCGTCGCCAGGTCAGCCGCCGAGTCGTAGTTGCCACGGTAACAGCCCAGCGACTCCATGCCTGGGCAGGTGAGCGACAGCCGTGACGTCACGACGACGTAAATAAAGACACTCTTTCTCATATTTGTCTCTCCGCGTTAACAATATAAAGGTATCATTTACACAACCTGTCGAACGCACGGCCTTCTGGGAGTGCAGCTATTAATCAGAAAGCGGTTCAATGCCAGGCGTTTCTGGACTGGTATCGACATTTAGTGTTTCATCAGGCTTGCTTGAACCAATGATGATGAACTGCCAGGACTTTTTAAGCAAGCAAGGATAATTATCTTTGTAAGGATCCTCTTTGGAGCGTAAACCATCACGCGAACTCTGGTCATCCTTGTAGCAGCAGCAGCAGCTTTTGGCTGGCCATCGAACAAAGACGGTCACCGCATCGCGCACATTCAGTTGCGCGTCTGCAGCCGTCTGGAACGCTCTTCCTTTCGATATCAGGAAGCCATTGGAGCCGTGCACTTCTAAATCATGTAGATTAAAAACGAATTTCTTTAGAACTGCTTTCTGTGTTTAGTTTGCTGTGCTTCACCCCCGCACCTCCGGTCAGCACGGTTGGCTACGTACGGTGCGAAAGAAGTTCAACACACATACAGTGGCTCACCAGTAGGGTTAGCGGCACGCCATCGTGAGGTTGCCGGTTCAAATTCAGATTTTGAACTGGACCCTGGCCAATGCTCTTCTGAGGTTGCTCAAATGAGTACCACTTTATGGGGAAGTTAATAGTAGTTGTCCTATTGGGAGACTTTCTCCCCCTGCCATAGGAATGTGGAATTTCCACCACTGGCTCAGGGCTGTATATGGGAGATTAGCACCAATACCTCAATGAAGCAGGGAAATCATATTGGCTTGACTTTTGAGTCCACTGTGTCTCCGATAAGCAGGGTTGGCTACGTCCGGTGCGTTGAGTACAGTAGACTCTCTATTTTCCGTGCAAATGATGAGGACGACGGCCACGGATCATTTAAAATCGCGGATAATCCAAAAAGGTGAATTTTCCGCGGAACTCTATGCCAAAAACCACTGATATAGGTATAAACTATGTTTAAGTTAAGAAAATTTAGTTTGTTAATGAAAAAGACTGCCCACTCAGTGGACAGCAAAGCCATGCCAATCAACATCAATCAAACTCCGCCCACTGTTGTAAAGATATGCAACGACCGTACCGTAGAGGCGATCATTTCGGATTAACCGGAGCACACGTGTGTTCACTTTAAGCACGTGACCTGTAATAAACGTCTCCAGGAATAACAATGCATCACTGCTCTTTAGATGATTAATTTGGGCTTCAGCGGAAAAAATCCACGAGTTATTAATTTACATCAAAATTCTCAGGTGAGCTGTCAGTCCGCAAATCGGATCAACCGCACGCCGACAATCAAGAGTCTCCTGTTAATTCTACATTTGAAGCTTTCGTGACTGCAAGGATTCATACTCTTAGTTTTTTTTTTTACAAATATTCACAGCGGCTCCGTCACCTCGCTGCGGGTCGGGGTCGCGTGGGGGCGTGCCGTCCAGCTGGTGGTGCAGGTTGCGGAAGGCGTGGACGTTGTAGCGGCCCTCGCTCAGCGCGTCGTAGCCCCGGCAGCGCGACGGCGTCAGAGCTCGCATGGGAGAGCCGCCCGCGGACCTGGCGAGGAATAGCGACGGCGGCAACGGCAGGTGACAATTTTTGTGAGCGGACGCGTTGGACGGTTGCCCTGCCCTGCTTGTCTTGAATCGATGCTGCTGGATTTACGCGCTCCCAGAAGGCCGTGCGGCCGATGAGTCGTGTGTTTTTCTTGTCACGTGGAGAGCCTGATACACGAAGGAAACGTGGTATCCGCTCGCTTCAATGCTCGAAAGATGAAGATCCACTACTTTTCATAAGCGATTAGCAATAACAAAGGTGATGAATTCTGCGTTTTCAAAGAACAACTTTTCAGATCATTTTCTCTGACCCAAGTAACCATTAAACTATTAAAAAAGAAATGTAAGGCCCACTGAGCTAGATATATTTTTTTCAGAAGTGACCTGGCTATCACAAATCCCATGGACATTTATAGCAGCAGCCAAACACTTGAAATGCGCGATGTTGAATCTAAACGTGGAGGCAAATAACCGGAGGACCCGGGGAATAATCCACGCGACCACGGGAGAGAGAGAGAGACACGCAAACTCCAAATATACAGCGGGCGTCAAGGTCTGGACCGCACTCACTAGTTAATATCTCGCTACGTCAGCCCAGTACAAAGCACCGGTCACAGTAATGGAAGGGGGGGGGATTTGGGCTCTCTGCCCCACCCAAGTGGGGACGGCGAGCGAGAATGTGAAAGCTTAATATGGGGGTGGGAGAGAGCAGGGGAAAGATAACAAAACATAATAACACAAATCTCACACTCGACAACAACACTGGGGACTTCAAAAAGAAAATATAATCGGTGAGATTTAGGGCAATGTCCCTTCATCATAGCTCGTAGACCAGCACGCAAGATCGTTTTTTTAGTAACGTTTTTGTAATTTCCCACCCCTCCCCCATGGGGCGTAGGGGCCCAGTGCTGAGCCACGAAGAGGATGGAAATCGTACGGAGGTGGTGGGGGGGGGGGGGCCCTCGTTTAAATCTCGATTGAAAAACAATTCCTCCAGAACTGCTTGTTGTTGTTGTTGTACAACAACAACAACAAGCAGTTTGTTGTCCTTGCCCACGCACCTCCGATCAGCGTGGTTGGCTACGTATGGTGCGGAAAAAATTCAGCATGCGTGCACATACAACACGTTCCCGTGCCAACTGCGCTAAGCCGCTAGTTCTATTTTTGTTCTTTGCACAAGAAGGCGGCCAGAGACAAATGACATTACGATGTAATGGACATAGTTGTCGTCGTCGTGAAAAGAGATAAGGTCATACCCCGGCTCGGGCAGGTGCGAGGGCTGGTGACGTCGGTGAACTCCGTTGTTGTTGTTGTTCGCCGACGCCAGGTTGGGCATGCTGCCCGCGGCACTGCCGGCTCCTCCCAGGCTCCCACCGCCACCGCCGCCGTCGCCCACGCACGCGGCTCCGGAGCCCCCCGCCGTCTCGTCCGGCCTCTGCCGCCAGCGTCGCCGCCGCTCCCCGTCGCCCTCGCGGCGGCGTGACGTCCCGCCGGGCAGCTCGGCGCTCGACTGGCTGGTGTAGGACGACGAGCCGTCGTCGATGTGCTCCGAGCTGCTGCTGCTCTGCAAGCCGCCGACGCCGGCGAGCTGAGCGGAGGACGCGAGGCGCGCGGCTGACGGAGCCGCCACCCTGCGCGACACGCCGGGAGTGCAGGCCGCCGCGGCGGCCGTGGCGGAGACGGTGGCGGCCGAGCGAGATGACACCGACTCGAGGCTGCTGCTCCGCTGAAGCGGCTGCCGCGGGGAGGGGAGCGCCGCGCGCGCCGGAGTCGACTCCAACGACCTGGCGGCGGGGAACGAAGACGGAGGTGTTAGGGGCGCAGACCCCCCGCAACAAACTACGGGTAAATTTCGATTTAAAGCTTTCGTGACTGCAGGGATTCATCTTCTTGGTTCTTTCGGTAAAGTCACGCAGTAGGGAAGTAATAAAATAATAAAAATCGAACATAATAAAACAATTCTCACGACGTTGCGTTGTGGCCGAAACGTCGTGAGAATTGTTTTATTATGTTTTATTTTTATTATTTTATTACTTCCCTACTGCGTGACTTTACCGAAAGAATCAAGAAGATAAACTACGGGTAGTCCTCTACTCACGATGGAGATGCGTTACGACGGCCCCATCGTAAGTCGAAAATATCGTAAGTCGAAGATGGCCTAGCCTACCCAGGAGTCTTAAAGAATGGTGATGATTTAGCAAAAGAAAGCAATTTACAGTACCGTACTGTATAAACTATATACTGTGTGTATTAATTACAATACTGTATTGCGCAGTAAAATGTAAAGTAAGAAAACCAAAGTAAATTGTTAGACTACCTATATGAACTGCAATTTAGTAGAAAGTTTTTTCAGGAAACAATCCTATCTGCTATAAAAACTTTTAACATACTGTATCGTACGTACAGTATCGTACCTCGTACGCTGCTGCGTTTGCCTGCCGCGCGAAATTAAAAATATTTTACAATTTTGTCGTATCGCTATCGTAAGATCGAAATATCGTAAGTCGGACCATCGTAACTCGGGGACTATCTGTATACACTTTTTTATTTTACCAGGTAAGGCTCCACCGAGCTATATAGCTCTTTTTTCAGAAGCTATCGCAAGTGATTAGCTAAACGAAGTGGCTTATCGTCACATGGAAATTTATAGCATCCGAAAACTCGAAACGCGTGATGTTGATTCTAAATGTGCAGGAGAAAAAACGGACTCAGAGAAAAATCCACGCGACCACGGGGAGAGTCACACGCAAAAACTCTAAATATATAGGCGTAGGAATCGAACCCACGACCTCCTGCATACGAGGCGAGGTAGTTAACATCTCGCCAGCGGTACCATTGCCAACAGCTTGCTCAGTGCCACTGTCGTTGGAAATGCATCCACCAGGGGGAGTGAGCCAGTCGCTGATGAGACGAGTGTTGGTATAATCTGCTGCGTCAATTTAATTATGATTTGTCGTAAAATTCTTGTTTTACGTTGGCGTACAAACATTTGCATTGGGGGTGAGGGGGTTGAATCGACGCTGATGTAAAATCTAATTTTCAATCACTGACTTTATTGTATTTTCTAAAGAGTGCGAGGATAAAGCCGATAGAAAACAGGCAAAGCCCCCGACCAGAGACGACATTGAGAGACGAAATGAGGAACACATTTCATTTGATTAAAGAAAATATCGTCGGATTCTTTCAGGATAAGTAAAGATTCTGATTTTTGGTTCTTTCGGTAAAGTCATGTAGAAGGGAAACAAAAAAAAATATATAAAACAATAAAATTCTCACGACGTTTCGACTGCAACACAAGCAATCATCATCAGGTGTATTTTCCTTTTTTTTACCTACGCGACTTTACCGAAATAACCAAGAATATGAATCCCTGCAGTCACGAAAGCTTTAAATAAAAATTCTGATTCTGAATCAGGTAAATGACAGCAGCATCCTAACTACAGCGTTGAGAAGAGTGAGCGGGCTCGGTCAGAACACGTCACTCTAAGGGTTGTTGGCCGTGGTCAAGACTAACAACAGTGGCTGCCAAGGGATGGAACGCATTCTAGAGGACACCCGCCGGGGAGACGGAGCGATGAAACCAGCCATAAGACAGATGCTGGATGAGAAATGGAGGCGGCTTGGGGAAGGAGGCCTTCATCCAGCAGTGGATAATTCATGACTGACGAGGCCGCTGATGATGATGATGACGGCGGTGACGACGATGGTGGTGACGACGATCGACCATGGGGGTTGCCGTACCGGATCTGCGGGCTGTATTGCGGTGAGCAGGTGGAGGTGGAGGAGGGGGACTGAGCGCCGGTGGTCCCCGTCTGCAGGTAGCGCTGGGATCTGCGGCGCACACAGGCGGAGAGCGTCGCGCGCTGTCAAGCCGGGGATCATCGCGAGGGCGCGAGCGGCCGCCCGGCGGCTCGGGGAGCAAACGCCACCGTGCCGGACCGCTCACCCGGCATCACCGCCGTCGCCAACAAGCAGCAGCAGCGCAAAAAAAACCATCCGGGGTTCAGCCGCCCGTGATAAAGCCAGCAGCGGTGGTAACACTCATCGTCGTCTTCTTCCTCTCTCGTATGGCGGCTGATGTCGATGCAGAGCAAACAACTACAATTTCACATTCGGGTGTTTCAAGCCAGTCAACCGCGTCAGGAGCATCGGAGTGGTATCGCCGTGACGTCCCCTTCGTATTTGTGGATCGCGTAACGCTCGTGCCTCGCGGCAAGAAGTTGCCGGGTTCAATTTCCAAACTCGGATGCCTTTCTGCGTGCCGTTTGTACGTTCTCTCTCCCCCTGTTCTGCATGGGATTAGTCCGGGTTCTGCATGGAATTACGCCGGGTTCTGGAAATGAGATTACTCCGGGTTCTGAATGGGATTACTCCAGGTTTTCCAGTTTCCTCCCATACCCCCCTCCCCCGCCACACATTGTAACTGGTTGAGGTCGAAACATTCCAACGCTGAAATAAATTACCTGCAAGTTATTAGATTTGGGAATTTCGCAGTGCAACATCGCTCCCCCACCTACCGCGTGAACTTGGCAGGACCCTCCTGAATGAAGAGTCTTGAGACTCGGCGAGGCTCTCCCGGGTAAACGAGGGGAATGTTACGGGTGCAGTGGTTCTCTGAATCTAGATTTGAAGTTTTCGTGACTGCAAGGGTCCATACTCTTTGGTTTTTTCAGTAAAGTCACGTAGGTAAAAAAATAAATGAAAATAAATTAAATCACGACGTTTCGAAGGCAACACAAGCTTCCGTCTTCAGGAGGAACCGTCATAGCAAAATTACTGTATCAAGTGAAAAAAATTACTGTATCTCACTTGTGTTGCCTCTGAAACGTCGTGATTTAATTTATTATACTTTTTTTTACCTACGTGACTTTACCGAAAAAAAAAGTAAGGTTTCCTGATCTCAACCTGTACACCCCCAACGACTGGGAAAACCACTGTCACGGAAGACAAATGAACACTCCCCTCGATACAGACCTAAGCAGTATCTACCGTCTTCTTGGTTCTTTCGGTAAAGTCACGTAGAAGGGAAATAACAAAATAAAAAAATAAAATATAATTAAATAATTCTCACGAGTGAGAATTATTTTATTATTTTTATTTTTATTATTTTAAAGTCACGTAGAAGGGAAATAATAAAATAATAAAAATAAATAAACCAATAAAATAATTCTCACTAGTGAGAATTATTTTATTATATTTACCGAAAGAACCAAGAAGATGAATCCCTGCAGTCACGAAAGCTTTAAATCGAAAGGTATCTACCATGTTTGACCAAGGGTGGTAGAACTGGTCGGGAAAGAGAAGTATGCCACTGATACAATTGTCAGCCACCTGTTGTCAGAGGTGTAATCAGGGCTGATTAAGCCAGGTGGGGGGGGGGGGGGTGTTGAAACAGGTGACCCGCCCCTAATAATGAGGCCGATAAGCCAATGGCAAAAAGGCGGCTGGAGGGCTGTTTGCTCGCGTATATAAAGGGCTGAGCCAGACCAGAAATGGTGGGGGACCACGGAGGTGCCGGTGCAGTGGCAAGCTGGGTGCCGTGACGCTGGAAGGTTACGATTTACGCTCTTGATAAGGGTTATGGCAAAAGGGGTTATTTGCCAGGTGGCAGGAGAGTCAATAATTGGGCTACGCTTGCAGGGGGCCTGGTGGGAGAGCGCATGGGTGCGCAAAGGTGAGGGAAGCCACGGGCAAGAGAGGTTCCTGCCCTGCCCCCCACTGCAGACTATACTCGTCTCCTTGCGAGTGTAACCCTTGCGCTGCAAGAACGGCGCAAATGCCACAACGCATTCGATTAACAAAATGCTCAACGTTTGTCAACAGCACCGTGTGTGTCGTTTCGAGAAATGGCCCTTTGTTTGACGAACGGCCACTGCCTGGAATGTCACCTTTTGCATATTCTTCCTCTATAAGGCCACACTATTCTTGACAAATTCGAGTTTTGTTTTTAAATATGGCAGAGAGGGTAAACTAAGAATCAAGCAGTGCTGGCTTTGGAGTTTTTTGACACGCAGAAACAATACCCTGATCGATCAATTCTACCCAGCTTGTACGAGTACACTGCACTGCACTAGTACCCGTTTTCAACCCGAGATTCTTTCCAGTAGCAAAAGTAAATTTCAAACCATGTGAATGGATAAAGCCATTTGCGTTCCATTCAAAACTAAACTATTTCTAGTTTACCAGGTAAAACCCACTAATCTATATAACTTTTTTTCTTTCAGAAGCGACCTGGCCACAAACGATAGCTCAACGAAGTGGCTTATCTGTGTGGAAATCTATAGCAGTGGCCAAATAGTCTAAACGCACGTTGATTCTAAACGTGGAGGGGATAAACCGAAGGACCCGTCAAAATCCAAGCGACCAAAGGTGAGAGAAACGCAGACTCCAAATATACAGCAGGTGTCAGGGTTGGGATCGAACCTACGACCTCCTGTATACCATGCAAGGTAGTTAACATCTCCTGGCCACCGTGGCGCCCATTCAACAACTCGACCAAATTACTTATTGATTCTGGTATTGCTGAAACTGCTCCATGATCGATGACCCACATGCATGAGTGGCCAGGCTAAAACCGTGACCTGCTGGGCAGTACTCTTTGTAAGAGTGATGGATGATGCAGATGATGATGTTAACTATGAGGATGATAAATCTGATGGTGATGCTAATAATGATGAAGTTGATATCAATGGCAATACCGATGGTGTTCATGATGATGCCCATATCAATGGTGAGGAAGGCAACGCTATTTAAGTCACGGATGGCAAAGTCCGTGGCGTTGTTTATGGTGGTTTGGAATACACTGATGATGCTTGTAAATTTTGAATGCGACACCAATGACGATAAAATCGTTGACCAATGATAATGAAGTCGATGGTAATGACCGTCAGGGTTAATGCTGATCACGATCGTGTCAATGGTGATGCCGAGAATGTTGATGAAATTGTGATAAAAAGGGAAGTCGGGAGATGGGCTACTAGAAGACTGAGTCAGCACAGTTGAGAACCTGGGTTCGATTCCAGGCAGCTGTCCGCGATTAAAACCAGGTCCATAATCTTCCTGGTTCTTTCGGTAAAGTCACGTAGAATGGAAATAATAAAATAATAAAAATAAAACATAAAAAAATAATTCTCACGACGTTTCGGCCACAACGCAAGCAGCCGTCCTCAGGTGAAGAACAGGGCTGTCGGGGAGACAGAGTCTGAATGACACACCCCAGGCTTGGAGCGTCTTTTTTAAGCTGGGTTGGAGGGGGGGAGAGCGCCTTGACAAAATAATTTGCATATCAAGAGGATTTGTTGCATATTTATGGGAAATGCAGATATGCGATTAGTACTACTTGTGAAATGCGTAGGAGGTTTGGCGAGGGGTTTAAAGTCATTATGCCCATGCATTATGCAGGATTAGCAGCATTGATGGTCTCAGCCTGGTCTGAGTTGTGCGCCTTTTGGCGTCATCTGGTCCAACACCATGTGAGACTAGGCTCTAAGAAAAGCTGTCTCGGGTGTGGACCAATCAAATTCAAGGACAGTGCATACATTATCAGAGTTGTATTTTTTGTTTGCATTCCGACCGCAGGTATTGTGGTCAATGCAAACATGACTCGTTGTAAAAAAAAAGGTGTCAGTTTTGTTGCCAGATAAAAGGGTAAAAAAACAATTATCATAGTTTTTTCTATCTTTGAAAAGGGAATCTCCTCCGAGGCTGCAGCTGTGTGACCGTCTGCTTCTTCCGTGGGCCATTCTCTACTACGGGTGACCTGCACTGCGGCGGCGGTGGTGTTGCCGGGACAGGAATGTTGGGGGTACCCGCGCAGGCTGGGTGGATGTCGCGAGGTCCTCTCCGACCGCCGGGGCAGCACGGGCGTGAACGTGGCCGGGTGCTTCTGCGGCGTCGAGTGCGTGGAGGAGAACAGCGTTCCCACCGGCTCGTCTGAGAAGGCAACGGTGGGGGGGGGGGGGGCACCCAACGCGCACGGTCAGCGCAACGTGCGCACGCGACGGCCTCGCTCGCGGGTAAAGTTGTCCCGCCTGTGCCACGCTCGTGCCACATGCGTCTGGGTCGACTCTTTCGCGCCGGCCAGATGTATTTTCGAAAGTGGTGGGAGAGTAGCCACCTCCGACTTTAGCACGGTTAGTTACGTGCGGTGCGACAGAAGTTCTACATGTGTGCATGCTTGGTCCACCACCGCGCGTGACCTGCCAGGTGCATTGTTTTTTGTTACTGCTGGGTGGACAAAGTTTGTGGTGGGGGAGGGGAGGATTAGCAGGGGGATTTAACAAACATGCCCCATTGCTTAACTGCCACCTGGATTGCAAGTCCAGTGTGCTCAACATTGCACTGCCGTGACAGCGTGCAAATGCTTTTAGACACGGGTAAATAATCGCCAGACGCGTGAAGATTCTCCACCCGCCGCCAAAGAGGTCGGTGAGCAGTCGCTCGTGTAAAAGTTCATACGCAACGTCAAAGCGCAAAACAAAAAAAACATCTATGCGTCGGATTCAAACGCTCATCAAAGATGTTTTCTTTCGGGGGAAATGCTCCGTTCATAATGCTTACCGTCGTCCAAAATCACTCCGTCCGATTGCGAGCCGTCGTCCATCAGGATGCTGTCGTCTGCCAAGGGAAGGTATAAAAGCACTTGGTGAAGTATGTTAGCGATGTCAAAATATTCCTAATGCGCGCAGGTCATACTTTCGGCAGCCCCTCCGAGAAGAATTTGAACAGCACCCATCATAGTCGACTCAATTTATTTGGCATGTTTCCATGCTTTTTTGGTGAATATTCAGGCAAACCTTGCACCACTTAAACAGAAGCCTAGGCACAGTGAGCCTAGGGGCTTCCCCATGCCGTTTTCCGAGCTATATGATTTATAATCAGTTTATTTTTGGGTTGGATAGTCGAGGTAGGTGTGAAGTACAGTTTAAAATAAAACCCTCCACCACCCCACCACACAAAATTGTCACGCCATACGCAAATTTGCCAGTTGATTTGGCTTCTCAGCAAGCTTGGGGGAATGTTAAAAAGTAAACCGAATTTGTACAACGTTGGACAAACCCGATCTATCAAACCTGGAAGAGACTCGTAGTGAATATTTGGCAATCCTGTTCTGGGATCTCCATATTTAGAATGTGCACCCTTCCTTCCCCCCCCCCCCCCAATTGTTGAAAGCAACAGTTGATGGTGCATGGCAGTAGTGCCACTACATCCAGCGGTGAGACGCGGCTAAGCTCTGCACGCACGGACGCCCCAGTGCCAGTGAGACGGCTTCCCCCCTTGGCCAGCCACCCCCCCCCCCTGGCCAGCCACCCCCCCTCCCCCCTGGCCAGCCACCCCCCCCTCCCCCCTGGCCAGCCACCCCCCCCTCCCCACTGGCCACCCCCCCCTCCCCCCTGGCCAGCCACCCCCCCCTCCCCCCTGGCCAGCCACCCCCCCCTCCCCCCTGGCCAGCCCCCCCCCCCCCCTGGCCAGCCACCCCCCCCCTCCCCCCTGGCCAGCCACCCCCCCCTCCCCCCTGGCCAGCCCCCCCCCCCTGGCCAGCCACCCCCCCCTCCCCCCTGGCCAGCCCCCCCCCCCCCCCTGGCCAGCCACCCCCCCCTCCCCCCTGGCCAGCCACCCCCCCCTCCCCCCTGGCCAGCCCCCCCCCCCCCTGGCCAGCCACCCCCCCCTCCCCCCTGGCCAGCCACCCCCCCCTCCCCCCTGGCCAGCCACCCCCCCCTCCCCCCTGGCCAGCCCCCCCCCCCCCCCTGGCCAGCCACCCCCCCCTCCCCCCTTGGCCAGCCACCCCCCCCCCCTGGCCAGCCACCCCCCCCCCCCCTGGCCAGCCACCCCCCCCTCCCCACTGGCCAGCCACCCCCCCCTCCCCCCTTGGCCAGCCACCCCCCCCTCCCCCCTGGCCAGCCCCCCCCCCCTCCCCTTGGCCAGCCCCCCCCCCTCCCCTGGCCAGCCCCCCCCCCTCCCCATTGGCCAGCCACCCTCCCCTCCCCCCTGGCCAGCCACCCCCCTCTCCCCCCTGGCCAGCCACCCCCCCCCTCCCCCCTGGCCAGCCACCCCCCCCCTCCCCACTGGCCACCCCCCCCTCCCCCCTGGCCAGCCACCCCCCCCTCCCCCCTGGCCAGCCACCCCCCCCTCCCCCCTGGCCAGCCACCCCCCCTCCCCCCTGGCCAGCCCCCCCCCCTCCCCCCTGGCCAGCCACCCCCCCCTCCCCCCTGGCCAGCCACCCCCCCCTCCCCCCTGGCCAGCCCCCCCCCCCCCTGGCCAGCCACCCCCCCCTCCCCCCCTGGCCAGCCACCCCCCCCCTCCCCACTGGCCAGCCACCCCCCCCTCCCCCCTTGGCCAGCCCCCCCCCCCCCCTGGCCAGCCACCCCCCCCCCCCCTGGCCAGCCACCCCCCCCTCCTCACTGGCCAGCCACCCCCCCCTCCCCCCTTGGCCAGCCACCCCCCCTCCCCCCTGGCTAGCCCCCCCCCTCCCCCCTGGCCAGCCACCCCCCCCTCCCCCCTGGCCAGCCCCCCCCTCCCCCCTGGCCAGCCCCCCCCCCTCCCCCCTGGCCAGCCCCCCCCCCCTCCCCCCTGGCCAGCCCCCCCCCCTCCCCTGGCCAGCCCCCGCCCCTCCCCACTGGCCAGCCACCCTCCCCTCCCCCCTGGCCAGCCCCCCCCCCCTCCCCCCTGGCCAGCCCCCCCCCCTTCCCACCATACCTGTGATGATGACCGAGGTGCGCTCCGTCGGCTTCTTTCCAACGCGCAGCCGCAGCTCGTTGATGGCGTCTTCGATGGCTTGCAGGCGACGCGCATCCTGTGTGCGTGCGCGTCGATACCAATGGATGGAGGAGTGAGCAATCTCAACGACGCCAAATATTTTTGTTCACCTAATTATTTCGACTTGAGATACACCGTATCCTCTCACTCTGGAACAGCGGGGATGGGGGGGGGGGAACGACTCGGGATGCCTGCGATTTGAATCCGGCAGACTGTCCTGATTAATGTGGCGGGTCTATTAGCCGCAAAATACGTGACGCGTGTGTGCTTCACCACGGCTGTTAAAAAAATCCCCGTGACGTCCATGGAGGCTTGGGGACGATGCCGAGACGAAGTAATGGTGACAAGCAACTGCACCTCTACCGGCCTCTCGCTGTGAAGGAACGCCATCCCCATTATAAATAGGATCTCTTTTGAAGGCCAAAGTGTTATTGACGATTGAGAAGAGTTTTAGTTTTTATGTCCGTTGTCGAAAATTGAGCACTCAATCGACAGCCGCAATTAACGACAAGCGCAGACCTGGCATATCCCCGTTGATCGATATTTCACTTTGAACGGTGTCACAGCGCCCACGTAAATTTTTTTGTGGCCCACGTTTTGTACTTCGCCAAGTTCCTGCGGCTGCCAGAAAGTCGGCAGACATTTACGTGCGTGCGACGCCACGGCTAACCGAGCCCCAGCATGGCACCCACCACCATCGTCGTACGGCTGCCGGCGTGCGGGTACCTGCGTGTAGGCTGCCTTCCGCTTCTTGCGAACTTTCTTCGTGATGTTGGGGTCTCGTGCGAGCTTGTGCGCGGCCTCCACAATCTTCTGCTGGATGGCGAACTCTCGCTCCAGCCGCTCCACGTCCTCCTCCTGCTGGCAGACCACACGGCAGCGCCCGCGTTAGCGCCCCGCTCGAGGGCGACGGAGAAGAGGTATGGATGTTTAACGTGTTTCGCACCGTACGTAGCCAACCGTGCTAGTCGGAAGACAAGGCCGGGCCTAAGGCTGATACCACGAGTGGATCTTGCAGGGTTGGGGGCAGGGAGAGGGTCACGGGAGGTGTTGATTGCAACCGTTGTGGGATCTGGCAGAAGGAAGGGAGTTGATGGGGACTTGGTCACGTAGCATCATCGTTTGCATTGGCCATGATGATGGTTGTACAAAACGGTTTCCCCGCTATCATGGGAAACACTGCCTCAGAACAGAAGCAAACGACGATCACATGTTTACGCAGTAAAATGCACAGCAGGAAGTCCCAGCACGATTTGTATGATAAGATGGCGGTAGTGTTCGTGCATATAGCCTGCACACAGCCTGTCACAGCCACCATATCCAACGGGCTAACATCTCGATGATCATTCGCGTCGTTGTGGAGAATATATATATAACTAAATTAGCAGACCACACGACTCCACGTCCGTCTCTCCGCATTAAAAAAACAAGTGGTTCTTACACATCCCATCAACTGCACGGCATTCTGGGAGTGCGTAATTTCAGCAGCATAGATTGAAGATGAGCGAAGTATGTTTTGACATCCAAGGTCTCGCCAGCAGTCGGGCTTGCTTGAGTCAATGCTGGTGAACTGTTGATCGTACAGGCACGGACCCTGTCTACTAGGACCCATGTCCTAAGGAGCTCATTGTGTGCTCCTCTGTATTTTATTCGGCAGCAGAAGGATAACAAAGACACTGCAGATATCCCAGTTTTGTAATCGGTATTATTAGGTCTCGTCAATGACAGCTACTGCTGCCCAATTGCGACATTGGCAGATAATGTGGCCGGAGCCCTACGGTGAAAACAAGGAAATATATTCGAACACAATCAAGAGTCATCGTGTTGTCATCTTGGTGTTAGCTATGCTTGCAGCCCGCATTCATGTTTCTGGTTACATGGATTTCTTAAGGTGGAAAAAGTGCTTGGAATTGCGATAAAACATCATACATATATAATGTGTATACTCACACCCAAGGTACAATTTTGAGTGCCCCATAAGATGCAAAAATTTCTAACGGATGCCAAAATAAATAGGGTTGATTTGCCTCTTTTCTGTACGTGCAGCTGTACCAGAAACGCTGAGCGGCACTGCTATTTTATCATCATCATCATCACTGCCACCAAAGCCACATTTGCAGGGAGACATTATTGAGCACCGAGCCTCCAAAGGCTGCAGCCTGGGGCCAGAGTGAAATCTAAATGAATGTCACGGCGTGGTCGCGGGTGTAATAACAGATTTAATGGATTGCCCACAGCCCCGCCAGCCAGCAGCCGTTTCGTTGCTCCCTGACGTCCTGAGACGTCTTCATGAAAACGCGTCTCATTCGACGTCCTCGTTCCGGTAAATCAACACCTGACAAATCGCATGGCGTCAACCGCCCGTGTCACTGGGAACGAACGGAGGGCACGGTTTCACCGTGCGGAATGCCTTGTTAATAATTCCTTGAAAGACAACCGCTGGTGGTGACCTTCAATCGCGTCAGAAGGTCAACACGTGCCGATGCGCACATCTCCTTCGTGAATGGAAAATGAAAGGCGCGCAAGCCGCAGTGGTACGGTTGTGGCCACGCAACCCAAACTATGGACCCACATAGTAAACCACTGTAATCTGTGCTCTTTCAACGGAGGAATATGAAAACTACACGAACTCTCTACCCTGAAGCTCTCTCGTCGTGGCTAGTAGACCCCTCTGTTGCCACTTAGCTCCTGAATGTATTTCGATCATGCGCAGGAATAGAATCCACCAACCATTGTAAGCTCGCCTACCTTAAATACTGCGATTTGGTAATGTATGTGTGCAACACGGGGGTAAATCAGCGGTGCATAGTGGTTATCACACTGCCCTTTTAACCAAGCAACCCAAGTGTGAGTGCCATACCTGGTGTATAGCAGTGGCCTTGGGCATCTCCCCTCCCCCACCCCTTTCCACCAATCTGGTGAAGTATGGTCAACCAACTTCCCCTGACTGCGGAGGAAGCCTTAATCCAGAAGTGGGTTTGACCAAATGGATTACAATTAACGTCTGTATAATTGTCCAAATTGGCACTGTAGTTAGGGCCATGATTCGCAAGTCCTATTTCAATTCCCATTTTGCAACTTTTACTCCGCTTTCCACCTCTCCTATTTCAATATAATGAGCATCACTAATAATAGCATTACTCTACGTAATACACAACGGCATCGATACTTCTGACACTTTATGGCTGTACATTGTCGTAATAATGTGTTTTATATAAGATACTTATCAAGCTGCTTGTGAGATTCATTCCGTATCACTGGGAGATCGCCCCCCCCCCCCTACGCACAATTGGCATTACACCATCAAAAGCCAATTTGCCCAGGTACCAATGGACGATGTATTATTGCCCCTAAACGCCATTCCAGCACTGCACTGTTATTATTGTTTAAACAGCCGTGGCGTATTGAGTTCACATCAAAATTAAAGTGTTTCCCCTCTCAATTGAGCATTGGGGGCATCGCGCTCATCTCTTCCGCGTTTCCCGTGGTGGGGTCCACACTCTCTCTGAGGGACGACGGCTGGGGTCAATATTTAGCCTCTGAGCAGAATTGCCGATTGGCAACATTGGCATGGGCGAGCTTTGAATTCGGCGAGTGGAATCTGATTGAGGAAGACCACGACGAATGGATGTTTCTCGGCTATCCCAGGCCATCTGTTCAAAGGGTGGATTTTGATCCGATCTGACGTCTTGTAAAGGCTACGCACGGCGTGGTGCGATGCCATTTAAAGATGTGGCCCTATAATAAACGCGACGCTTAGTATCCAATGACGTTCGCAGGCCATCCTTTCCAGGCCATCACGAAAACCACTTTCATACTGGCCGAGCGGTGGCTCGTTTATGACGGGTGACTTAATTGAGCGTTGATGGTTAATGGTCCTGCTGGAGCATTGGACCGTCCATTTATAAACGACATGCGTTTAAGAGTATTTGGCTGCAAATAATGTCCACAAGATGAGCCACTTCGTTGAGCTATCATTCGTGATAGCCAGGTTGCCTCTAAAAAAAGAGCTATATAGCTCAGTGGGCTTTACCTAGTAACATAAAAAAATTGGTATAGTTTTAACAAATTAATTATCGCGACCATGGGGAGAGAAACAAGCAAACTCCAAATATACAGCAGGCGTCAGGGCTGGTATCGAACCACGACCTCCTGCATACCAGGCAAGGTAGTTAACATCTCCTAGCCACCATGATGTTGAGATAGGCAAACTCCAAATATACAGCAGCAGGCGTCAGGGCTGGGATCGAACCCACGGCCTCCTGTATGCCAGGTGAGGTAGTTAACATCTCCTAGCCACCATGATGTTGAGACAGGCAAACTCCAAATATACAGCAGCAGGCGTCAGGGCCGGGATCGAACCCACGGCCTCCTGTATGCCAGGCGAGGTAATTAACATCTCCTAGCCACCATGATCTTGAGACAGGCAAACTCCAAATATACAGCAGCAGGCGTCAGGGCTGGGATCGAACCCACGGCCTCCTGTATGCCAGGTGAGGTAGTTAACATCTCCTAGCCACCATGATGTTGAGACAGGCAAACTCCAAATATACAGCAGCAGGCGTCATGGCCGGGATCGAACCCACGGCCTCCTGTATGCCAGGCGAGGTAATTAACATCTCCTAGCCACCATGATGTTGAGACAGGCAAACTCCAAATATACAGCAGCAGGTGTCAGGGTCGGGATTGAACCCACGGCTTCCTGTACGCCAGGCGAGGTAATTAACATCTCCTAGCCACCATGATGTTGAGACAGGCAAACTCCAAATATACAGCAGCAGGTGTCAGGGTCGGGATTGAACCCACGGCCTCCTGTACGCCAGGCGAGGTAGTTAACATCTCCTAGCCACCATGATGTGAGACAGGCAAACTCCAAATATACAGCAGCAGGCGTTAGGGCCGGGATCGAACCCACGGCCTCCTGTATGCCAGGCGAGGTAATTAACATCTCCTAGCCACCATGATGTTGAGACAAGCAAACTCCAAATATACAGCAGCAGGTGTCAGGGTCGGGATCTAACCCACGACCTCCTGTACGCCAGGCGAGGTAGTTAACATCTCCTAGCCACCATGATGTTGAGACAGGCAAACTCCAAATATACAGCAGCAGGCGTCAGGGCCGGGATCGAACCCACGGCCTCCTGTATGCCAGGCGAGGTAATTAACATCTCCTAGCCACCATGATGTTGAGACAGGCAAACTCCAAATATACAGCAGCAGGCGTCAGGGCTGGGATCGAACCCACGGCCTCCTGTATGCCAGGTGAGGTAGTTAACATCTCCTAGCCACCATGATGTTGAGACAGGCAAACTCCAAATATACAGCAGCAGGCGTCAGGGCCGGGATCGAACCCACGGCCTCCTGTATGCCAGGCGAGGTAATTAACATCTCCTAGCCACCATGATGTTGAGACAGGCAAACTCCAAATATACAGCAGCAGGTGTCAGGGTCGGGATTGAACCCACGGCCTCCTGTACGCCAGGCGAGGTAGTTAACATCTCCTAGCCACCATGATGTGAGACAGGCAAACTCCAAATATACAGCAGCAGGCGTTAGGGCCGGGATCGAACCCACGGCCTCCTGTATGCCAGGCGAGGTAATTAACATCTCCTAGCCACCATGATGTTGAGACAGGCAAACTCCAAATATACAGCAGCAGGTGTCAGGGTCGGGATCTAACCCACGACCTCCTGTACGCCAGGCGAGGTAGTTAACATCTCCTAGCCACCATGATGTTGAGACAGGCAAACTCCAAATATACAGCAGCAGGCGTCAGGGCCGGGATCGAACCCACGGCCTCCTGTATGCCAGGCGAGGTAATTAACATCTCCTAGCCACCATGATCTTGAGACAGGCAAACTCCAAATATACAGCAGCAGGTGTCAGGGTCGGGATTGAACCCACGGCCTCCTGTATGCCAGGCGAGGTAGTTAACATCTCCTAGCCACCATGATGTTGAGACAGGCAAACTCCAAATATACAGCAGCAGGTGTCAGGGTCGGGATTGAACCCACGGCTTCCTGTACGCCAGGCGAGGTAATTAACATCTCCTAGCCACCATGATGTTGAGACAGGCAAACTCCAAATATACAGCAGCAGGTGTCAGGGTCGGGATTGAACCCACGGCCTCCTGTACGCCAGGCGAGGTAGTTAACATCTCCTAGCCACCATGATGTGAGACAGGCAAACTCCAAATATACAGCAGCAGGCGTTAGGGCCGGGATCGAACCCACGGCCTCCTGTATGCCAGGCGAGGTAATTAACATCTCCTAGCCACCATGATGTTGAGACAGGCAAACTCCAAATATACAGCAGCAGGTGTCAGGGTCGGGATCTAACCCACGACCTCCTGTACGCCAGGCGAGGTAGTTAACATCTCCTAGCCACCATGATGTTGAGACAGGCAAACTCCAAATATACAGCAGCAGGCGTTAGGGCCGGGATCGAACCCACGGCCTCCTGTATGCCAGGCGAGGTAATTAACATCTCCTAGCCACCATGATGTTGAGACAGGCAAACTCCAAATATACAGCAGCAGGTGTCAGGGTCGGGATTGAACCCACGGCCTCCTGTACGCCAGGCGAGGTAGTTAACATCTCCTAGCCACCATGATGTGAGACAGGCAAACTCCAAATATACAGCAGCAGGCGTTAGGGCCGGGATCGAACCCACGGCCTCCTGTATGCCAGGCGAGGTAATTAACATCTCCTAGCCACCATGATGTTGAGACAGGCAAACTCCAAATATACAGCAGCAGGTGTCAGGGTCGGGATCTAACCCACGACCTCCTGTACGCCAGGCGAGGTAGTTAACATCTCCTAGCCACCATGATGTTGAGACAGGCAAACTCCAAATATACAGCAGCAGGCGTCAGGGCCGGGATCGAACCCACGGCCTCCTGTATGCCAGGCGAGGTAATTAACATCTCCTAGCCACCATGATCTTGAGACAGGCAAACTCCAAATATACAGCAGCAGGTGTCAGGGTCGGGATTGAACCCACGGCCTCCTGTATGCCAGGCGAGGTAGTTAACATCTCCTAGCCACCATGATGTTGAGACAGGCAAACTCCAAATATACAGCAGCAGGTGTCAGGGTCGGGATTGAACCCACGGCCTCCTGTACGACAGGCGAGGTAGTTAACATCTCCTAGCCACCATGATGTTGAGACAGGCAAACTCCAAATATACAGCAGCAGGTGTCAGGGTCGGGATTGAACCCACGGCCTCCTGTACGCCAGGCGAGGTAGTTAACATCTCCTAGCCACCATGATGTTGAGACAGGCAAACTCCAAATATACAGCAGCAGGCGTCAGGGTCGGGATTGAACCCACGGCCTCCTGTACGCCAGGCGAGGTAGTTAACATCTCCTAGCCACCATGATGTTGAGACAGGCAAACTCCAAATATACAGCAGCAGGTGTCAGCGCCGGGATCGAACCCACGACCTCCTGTATATCAGGCGGGGTAGTTAACATCGACTGGGGGAGGGGGGGGGGGAAGGGTGGTTTAGCAACGAAGCGTCCAGGAGGAGTCTGCCCTGGGCCACCGTGCCGCCACCGTGCCGCCACCGTGCCGCCACCGTGCCGCCACCGTGCCGCCACCGTGCCGCCACCGTGCCGCCACCGTGCCGCCACCGTGCCGCCACCGTGCCGCCACCGTGCCGCCACTGCGTCTGGGCGAGCTCACCTCCACCTTGGGGAACACCTTGTTCTCGTCCAGCCTGAACGTGGTGCCCACGCGCCGTCGCACCGCGGGGAGCTTCTCCCCGGGCCCCTTGGGGTACTCCACGGGCAGCGTGCCCGTCAGCTCCTGTGGAAGTCGGCGCGCCGCACACGGCCACACGTGTCTCTTACGTCGCCGGAGCCCGGCACGCCGCGCACAAACGTAGGGGAGCAGTCGCGCGAAGGCCAAACGGAAGGCGAGAGGCTTTCTAGCCGTGTGCCCAGTGGGGCAAGCTGGGACGCAGGCAGAGAGGGCGCACCGGGTTCGGTGTCCGACAAATCTCTTGCATGTCCTGTGACGCCACAGTCCGTGAATGGCATGGGCTGAACATTGCAATTTGGGGGGGGGCACTGTTGTGGGGGGGGGGGGGGAAGCAGATGGGGGCAGTGGAGGGGGGAAATGTTGCAGGGAGGGCGGGAGGTAGGGAAATGTTGCGGGGGGGAGGAAGGGGTGACTCACAGCCTCCCGCAAGCACAGGCGCTTGAGCTCGCTCGTGCGCTCCTCCAGGCGACGAGCCAGCTCCTGGTGTTTTAGCTTCAGGGCTTCCAGGAGATCCTTCCGCGCCGCCTCGCTCACCTCCCACTCCAGGGACACTGACGGATGCAAAGCAACGCGGCGCACGCACGGAATGTTAAACGTTGCAGAGGAACAGGCATTCATTCGCATGCCCGCCACTGGGTGGCAGGTTGGCGCAGTGGAATCACTTGTGCCTCGTAGCCATAAAAAGAGGCTGTAGCACAATTCCCGACTCGGGTTATCTTTCTGCGTGGAGCATGGATGATCGTTCTCCCCTGTGCCACGTGGGTTTCCTCCGGGTTTTCTCGTTTCCTTCTCCCATAGCAAAAAATTAATAAATCATGCAATGCAATTGGCATTGGCCAAAAGATCCCATTACTGTAAAATTGTTTTATTTTATACCTACATGACTTTACCGAAAAAACAAAGATTATGGATCCCTGCAGTCACGAAAACTTCAAATCTAGATTGAAATGTCTCACAATTTGGGATCACACACAGCAAACATCACCTTCCTACTGCAAACGTGTTTTTGGCAATGCCTCTCCCCTGCACATCAGTGTCACCCATCCAAGCACTATCCAGGCTTGACACTGCTTAGCTTTTCAAGATCTGATGAGATCGGGGGGGGAGAGGGGGAAGGGGGCATTCTGGGTGATTTGAAGACCTGGAGATGTTTATTAAACACGTAATTATTCACTGCAGCTAACGTGGGGGATTTGGTAAAATAACAACCGACTACCATACACACCCAGATAATAATCTTACCGTGACACCACTCGGCTGTAAGATATTATCCTGCTCGTCTACGCTACGCGCCGTTAATCCGGCACATTGGCTTCGGTGTAGAATTGGTTGGTGAAGAAATCGTGTTTGTCCTTGTGCTGCAAGACTGCTGAACTGGGTCGGTTTGCGAAGTGGCCTACAGATGGTGATACGCCGGAAATATTTGTGATTTGTCTGTGAGCTACATTGGTTGTTGTTGTTGTCGTTGTCCTCTTTGTAGGTTGTGGGGTTTCTTCCCACGTGCAACAAAATGCAAAAAATGAAATCGCAATTGGCCCAATATCTCGATGCATGATCCTCATGGCAAATTATGTCTTGAGACTCGAACAAGCCTTTTTCAGGATCAAACTCTGCAAACCTAAATTTAGACTTAAAACTTTCGTGACTGCAGGAATTCATATTCTTGGTTCTTTCGATAAAGTCACATAGATAGAAAACTAAAATTTAATTTAAAAAACCCATTACGTTTCGATCGCAACACAAAGCAGTCTTCTTTTTGCGATCGAAACGTCGTGGGTTTTTTTGCTTTTTATTTTGATTTGTTTTTTATCTACGTGAATTTACCGAAAAAAACAAGAATATGCAAAACTATACATTCACACACATATGTAGTGACATCGCGGGATGTCAACGTGCAGTGCCGGCCCTAGAGAGGCACGGCGTGCGGTGTAACGACATCGCGGACACCACGTGGTGTGGGTCTAGTACCGGCCCTAGAGGGGCCCGGTGAGCGCTGAGTGATAGCGCTAGATAGCACCATGCTTTGCGTGCAGTGCCAGCCCCTACAGGACAGGGTGTGGGAGTGCAGGCCGGAGGAACGGGGTTACTCGAGGCCATGGCACTCTGGTTGACCTGGGTGGACACGTGACCAGTTAAGTCTACAAAAGTGCCCAAGTGGGGGATAGGGGTGGTCACGTGGTTAACATCCAGATTGTTCCCGAGGATTCTAGAAGGTGGTCGTGGCCAAGGGCGGAGGCAGCCACGCCGCAGAGAATATAAGCCGGGTCCCCAGGGGGGCCGGCGTTGTTCTTCATCCTGAAAAAACCTTCGTCTACGTTCTACGTTCAACGAGTCTCCAACACGTGGACCTGGACCCCAGCTGTTGGTCCTGGTCCGTAGTAGCTCGGTACGTTGTAGTTAGTGTCGCTAGTCTGGTGGTCACCATCTGGCTAGCTACACAAGTCACGTGGTAACTAGTGTAGTTAGCCTCGTGGTCACCACCTGGCTAACTACACCAGTCACGTAGTAACTAGTGTAGTTAGCCTGGTGGTCACCACCATAGGTTGTTATTCTGTTAAGGGGCAGTTACCCCGTGTGTTGGAGTTAAATACCCACTACACATATGTCGGATTGTTGATTTAACAGTAATCTTTGTCATACATCCGAAAGCTGAAGATAATACTTAATCATCGGCTTGCTTTTTGAATGCATGCCTGTAAACAGACTGCAATTGCCGTACGTGGATATGAATTATCCTGCAATTAAATGACAGCGCAACATTTTTAGCGTTGTTGTTGCTTTTGTGCTAACCAGGCTTGGGGGATCCCAATTTCAAAGCACTCCCCGAAGGATGTAAACGCAACATTGAGCCGTGGTGCGGAAGCAACGTAATTATGAGAAATTACAATCAAGTCTTTGCCGTCCGATGCGGCAGGCTTTTTTGTCACTACGAAGGCCGGGAAAGGAGTCCACGGGGAAAACAAAGCCTTAAAAAGTCATTTACTCCAAAGATCGTTTGCAATTTTACAAGGCACACTTTTGGTCAAGATAATTCTGGCAATCACACCCTGCAATAAGTCGTAAGATGTCACGGACGTAATATCTTTGGAGATATGCAATTTGCCCGAGAAATATGGTACCCATTAAAATTATGCGGATTTAATCGTTATTGCATTTGTTGTGCTGTTGCGTAAAAAAAAATTTTATTGAGTCACTGTCCAGTAGAGAAAATATAAAATTGCGCGTCCAATGGTGTTATTCTGTATCCATGGTACCGATTGGGGGGAGCGGTGGTGCAATGGTTAGCGCACCACGCTACAAACCCGGTGACCCGAGTTCTATTCCTGCTCATCGCCACATCGGTGACGAATATCTGAACGGGTCCTGGGCCTCCCCCGTCTCGACTCGGCCTCAAATGAGTACGGCTGCAAACCACTCCCTCGTGTGCCGTGTAGGCCTTCATAAGTGCTTGCTCACAGCACTTGGGCCAACAGTCTAAGGCTATAGATGGGATCTTTGCCTTTCTATAAAGTTGTCCATTACACCACCCTGTTATGCAAAACAAAAGGAGGCTTAACTTAACACTCCCCCACGGCCCATCCTGGCTCCTTCCCCCCCCCCCCTTAACCTGTATATAGTCTCGTGTCTCTTAGAGTTCTCCCCACTTGATACGGTAATTTTGCCGTGACGGTGCCACCTGAAGACGGAAGCTTGCGTTGCCTCCGAAACGTCGTGATTTAATTTATTTTTATTTTCTACGTTACTTTACCGAAAAAACCAAAGAGTATGGACCCTTGCAGTCACGAAAACTTCAAATCTAGAATTAATGACTTGCAATAGCATATTTATAGCTTACTGTGATTACTAAATGTGCGCGTGTTAGCATTTTACGGATTAACAGCTGCAGGAATTGATGCGTAATGTACACAGCTGTTCGTAACACATGTTTTTTGGGTTAAATCGCATAAATTTACGCGATGATATTGGTCGGCGAAAGCCTAAGTGTTAAACTACATAGCTGTTCACGCACAGATTTACTTTGGAGTGCACACCAAGGCAAACCTTGCATTGGAACACGAAACGCAAATAAACAATGTGGAATTTGTAACGTGTACAATGTTTAATCTCCCAGAGAGAGAGAGGGAGAGAGTGCGATGTAGAGGTGAAAAAATTCACAGACAAGTGGAAATGGCAGCCGGAACCGATACCAACCATTGCCATGCTCTGTGGTCCTATATTGAGATGTTTGGCCAACACCATCAATTATTCTTTAAACGTGGGAGGAAAGCAGAGAGAGAGAACCTATGTGTGCGAGGTAACGCTCAATGCGTGTACAGATGGTGGTATTTAACCCACTTGCTGTACTGCCATCATACCCTGGTAAGCTCGGAGATGTGGCGACTTCAGTGCCCACAGGTAGTTTGGGAGCTTTTCATAAATTTACGTGCAAGCCACCAACCAAACCCTCGCTGCCTTCACCGTGCTGGAGTACAGGCCACGTACGTAATAACCAGCGTCCAGAAGCTTGACCAAGCCTCACAAACACCTGCTGGATATTTTGAGTCTGCATGTCTCTCTCTCTCTCTCTATCCCCATGATCTCGTGGATTTTTTTTCGCGGGTCCTCCGGTTTTACCCCGCACGTTTAGAAACACGCAACTTAGATCGTTGGGATTATTTGGCTGCCATGAATGTCCACGTGCTAAGCCACTTTGTTGAGCTATCATTTGTGGCCAAGTTTCGCTTCTCAAAAAGGTAATAGCTCAGTGGGCTTTACCTGTTAAAATAAAAAAAAAACTGTTTAGTTTCGTAATTTTTTTGTGTAATCTGTTTTTACCTTTCCTGTACTTTTCACTCCGAGTTTTTGTATCGTTTGTTGTTGTAACGTTCTGACCAGCCCCGACCAGACATCTGTAAAAGAGCTTCATAGCTCATCGGATTCCTCCCGTCTCAATAAATATTCTGATTCTAAAAGTCAGCCAATCAATATCACTGACACTCAAAACTGCACAACAGGGGACATTTCTTACCTGTTCGTGGATAAAAGATTTATGCTCCCTTCTCAGTATTCCGAGATCAAGGCTAATTTCCTGGGGTGATCGGGGCTTTTGCCACTACGAAGCTCCCAGGATTTGGAACGCTTTGCTAATGAGAGAGTCATATTCTTGGTTCTTTCGGTGACTTTACCGAAAGAACCAAGAATATGAATCCCTGCAGTCACGGAAGCTTTAAGTAAAAAAGTTAGAGAGTCGTTAGATATATTTAAGTCCTAGCTTGAAAACTCACCTCTTTTAAATTTGCCTTTACCCCCACAGTTTCGGCCGTGTATCCTACAGGTTCTGAGTGAGTGGGTGAGTGGGTGAGTGAGTGGGTGAGTGGGTGAGTGGGTGAGTAGGCGAGTGGGTGAGTGAGCGGGTAAATTGGCCTTTAATCCCCACCAAGATCTGTACCGTGCAGGTTATGTTGGTCTCCTGCTTGCCATACATGGTGGTGCATTGGGATCTATGTTTGTTTGTTGTAGTACGGAGTTAGACTGATGGCCTTAATCTAAATTGTCTTGTGGTTGTTGTTTGACTTGCATCCCACTGGTATTATTAAAATGGTTAATTTAGCATCTTCATTCTTTAGAACTGTTTGTTGTGTTTAGTTTCGTTGTCCTACCCCCGCACCTCTCGACTAGCACGGTTGGCTACGTACGGTGCGAAAGAAGTTCAACATGCATACGTCATTGTCGTAATTTCTCTTCTGGCCTGGAATCACTATTCCCCCCCCGCCACCCCACTCCTCATGTGGTCCCGTGGACTGTTACGAGATTCATAATGATGTCAAGTCGATAATCATCGTTTTGTTCTTTTATTCTCTTTAATATTTTCTATTTTAGTGCAAAAGTGAACGTGGCCCAATTCTTCAGTGACAAAAATGAACTGAAGCAATAAAATAATGTAAAAAAATCTATGTTAACACCACGATTTGATTGATATCGGCATCACGAGCATAATAATATCTCAAACGACGATTACATATCGTAGCAATGCTTAAAGAATCTCGCCCCTTAATGTACGCTGCTCTCAGAATACAATAACAATGTTCAAATATGCCCACTGTACTTGCACACTCTAAATATACTTAAAATAGGGTAATTGTATTGGCCTCGAATACGGTGACAGCACTATCTTTCAGTGCCCTCGTAATGTCACGCCGTGTTAGGGTGCTACAGAAGTTGTCTTCATCGTCGTTACCGGGATCCAGAGCTCGCAAACGGGTTTTGTTTCCTTACCCGTACCCGGCCGCACCAGGGTCGCAAATGGGTACCCATACCCGGCCGGGTACGGGTAGCCGTTCCCTACCCGTACCCTACCCAAAATGAGTGACAAACAGTTACTCATCAGTGACTCACGGCCTACCCGTACCCGTACCCGGCCGCACCAGGGTCGCAAACGGGTACCCGTACCCGGCCGGGTACGGGTAGCCGGGTATCGGGTAGAGTACGGGTATCGGGTACCCGGTTGCGACCTCTGCCGGGATCCTCTGACGTGCAAATGGCGCTCTTATCACGGTCTCGGAGACCGCATTGAGAACAAGTCTCCCTCCCCACCTCTTCGGTACCGATGAAGATGTTTCATTTGAGTTTTCCTCCCGGTTTCGTTTGGATGACGGACATGCACGCCGCCGGAACACAATCGGAAGAAAAACCGACGAGGTGCACGTCGTCGGTTGAGAAAGTGGTTAAGATCGCCTCCGCCCCCCCGTCCCCAACGCGAGTTTCCTTTCGACATCCCAAGCAACGCGCTCAGGGCTTCCAAATTTTTTAACGGACTGGCACCCCCCATCCACACGGAGGGAGAGCGACGATCAATAAAGCCGCTAGAATCATCGAGGTGCGCGTGGCAAGGGGGGGGGGGGGGGGGGGGGCGGGAGAGCGGCGCAGAGGAAGGCAGCGGTAGGAGTTGAGCTCAAGACGTTAAACCGAGTACGGGTGTTGTGTGAGCGTGCACGCGAGTCGTGTAGCGGTTAGCGCTACGCTGCGCTATGAACCCGGCGACCCGGGTTCGATTCCCGCTCAGGGCCAACACCAGTGACGATTATCTAAACCGGTCCTGGGCCTCCCCTAGGTCGACTCAGCCTCAACATGAGTACCCGGTGCGGTGTGTAAACATCGCCACTGGGGAGACAAAGGCGGTCGGGCGTGGTGCTGGCCACCCACCCCCTCGTGTGCCGTTCTGGCCTTCATAGGTGCTCGCTAACAGCACTTGCCCCTACAGTCTGTTAAGGCTATACGGGGGATATTTATCTTTGTGTGCGTGTGTGTGTGTACATGTGCCGTGGGGAGCAGTGGCGTAGCGGTTGGTCGTGCCGCGTTGCGAACCCGGCGAGCCGGGTTTGATTCCCGCTCACGGCCACCGACAGCAGTGACGATTATCTGAACCGGTCCTGGTCCTCCCCTAGGTCGACTAAGTACCTGGTGTGGTGTGGAAACATCGCTGCGAGGGAGACAAAGGCGGCCGAGCGTGGTGCTGGCCACCCACCCCCTTGTATGCGCAGTTACATCTGAAGTAAGAACAACTACCGATGCTTGTTTACTCTCGCTAAGGGGGGGGGTCTGGTCAAACCCCAAGGGGGCCCCCCCTGACCTTAATCCTTTAACCCAGCAGATTACTTACACTCCATCACCTGCCGCTGGCATGGCAGAGCGCCCGAGAGAAGAAGTCTTCTGCACGCAATTACAGGGACAGTATGTTAAGCTGCAGACCCACCCTGTGGGTTCCTCTGATTTAGGCTCGTATATAGATCGCACTTGCCAACTCTGCAGCGGTAGGCTGGAAATTGGATTTAAACTATTTATTTAAAAATATAACAGCGTAGCAATTTTCGCTAAGCGTGATCGCGCCGCATCATAGCGCGTAAGGAGCGTCGGTCTCTTTCCATTTTGTTGCCTTGGTAGAAGAAAAAAGTAATCGGTTCGCAGTGAAACGGCGAACGTCAAAAAATTCAGCAGCCTACCGCTGAAACCGACAAAGGGTGGGGGGGGGGCAGGTTGGCGAGCGTGAACCGTACACACACACACACGCGGGCAGTAGCGCGTGTAGAAAATGCACACTCCTGCAAAGCATTCGAAAGCCCGTGCCTTGCGAGTTTCTTTTCTGCCACGTTAAGATCTCAATCATCGACTATTGTACAGCCTTGCCGCTGATCCACTGCTCAACGAGGGCCTCCTCGCAACACCGCATTGGTCTTGCAGGGGGGGGTGGGGCAGTGTTGTTTGACCATACTTCACCCTGTTGGTCAATGCGAGGGGATTGCTGAATTGGAAGACCCTCCGTGACCGGTTCGGGATGTGAACTCGGGTCACGCGGGGTTCACGGCACAGAGCGTTCAACCGCTGTGCCCACTGCTCCACCTGCAGTGGCCTTTACGACGCACGCAGCCCGCAGGAGATTGTGTGTGCGGTAAGTGTGTGTGTATTATGTATGCATGTTGAACTTCTTTTGCACCGTACGTAGCCAACCGCGCTCATTCGTTGGCTACGTACGTGTACGGCCCCCTTGGGGTCACGGGGGTTAATTAACCATTTTTCACCATGCCGGTCGATGCGTATTGATGAAGACGGGGGAGTGCAACGCAGATATGGATTTTGCTGCAATACCCCCACCGCATGCCATCGCAGTTGCCGGTAGCAACCCGTCGCCCATCCGAGAGCTATCCAGACTCAAAACCTGCTTAGCTTCCGAGATGGGGGTGCATTGCAGGTGATTTAGTCAAAGCCACAATCGTACTGCATATATATAGGCAAAGATCCCCTGTACAGGCTTAACAGACTGTCAGGGCAAGTGCTGTTGGCGAGCACCCCACGATGGCTGGCACGGCACACGAGGGGGTGGCGTGGACAGCACTGCGCCCAAGATGCTACGAATGGGATTCACGCACGGAGACGAATCGTGCCGTAGAATGCCACGTCTGGTTTCCAGAGAGTCGCTCGTGGATATTTTACACGGGCCGACCGATCCGGCCGCCTTGTAGCATCTCGGGGGGGGGGGGGGGGGGAGGAGGATGCCTGGGGGTCGTGCACCCAACCGCGACCGACCACGCAGAGCGAATTAGCACGCAGCGCGCTCGGCGTGAAGTAAAAAAAAAGACAGCCCGCTAGGAATGGCACGTGAAGGGAAGGCGTACTGACCTTTAGGCAGTTTCTCTGCGACATCTTTGGGTCAGGCAGCAAAGGAAAAGAGGGACGGTTCAGAACCAGGCAAGAGGCACCGTCGCTTCACATCATCAAATCCTCCGCGCTGTTACAGTTCAATAAAAAAAAAACATGAGAAAATCTCGACGCACCATTGTTCACTCGTGAATTAAAATAACAAAGGCGGGGATTAATCACTGGGCATTCATTCGCAACGGGAGGGAAACCCATGCTGATGAACACGGCAGGGGCACTTTTGTGAGCAGTGTGTAGTTGGAGGGGGGGGGGGGTGGGATTTAGAGTATATGGCTGTTATACATTTTCACATCAGCCACTTCGTTGAACTATCATTCGTGGCCAGGTCACTTCTTTGGGCCTTACCTGGTCAAATAAAAAATAGTTGGATAAACAGTTGAATAGTTTCGTTAGGCCAGAGAAAATGATCCAACATGTTTTTTATTTAAAAAACACATAATTCATAATTTTTGTTATTGCTAATCCCTTATGGCAGAAAGGTAGTGGATCTTCTTTCGAGCGCTGAAATAAACGGATACCACGTCTCCTTTTTGTATCGGTCTCTCCACATAACAACAAAAACAAAAGTAGCTCTTACGTGACCTGTCGGCCGCACTGCATTCTGGGAGTGCATACATTCAGCAGCATTGAGTCAAGACAAGCAGGGCCGGGCGACTCTCCAAAGCATTCGCCTACTTGCTGCATTCTATTTCGGTTGCAAAGCAATGTTCAAAATGAATGTGGTGAGGATTTTGGTTTATGCTTCTCTTCGTTTTTTTTTGTAAAGAATGCACGTGCTCAGCAATGGGCAGCATCAGATGGGCAGCGAGCAGCTGCCATGTTACTGATTAATTCTGTAAAACAAATACACTGCTGACAATTGACAAGTGCATTTTATTTCCACTGAAGCTATCTCCGAATAGAAAAAAGAAAAACAGACACAAATAAAAGAGAATTCAACATCTTCTTGGTTCTTTCGGTAAAGTCACATAGAATGGAAATAATAAATTAATAAAAATAAAACATAATAAAATCTGTCGAGACAGAGTCGTCTCTACAGACCTGTTCTTCACCTGAGGACGGCTGCTTGCGTTGTGGCCGAAACGTCGTGAGAATTATTTTATTATGTTTTATTATTATTATTTTATTACTTCCATTCTACGTGACTTTACCGAAAGAACCAAGAAGATGAATCCCTGCAGTCACGAAAGCTTTAAATCAGAATTCAACTTATTTGTCTATAACACTGTGGCTTGAAAAGAAAAATATTTGTAATAGATGGGCAACGTTTCAGGCAATGGTCCTACTTCATAGCACGGGAGGGACAGTACTCAAAAAGGCACCTGTTATATTTTTATTTTAAGGCCACGGTGTTGTTATTGTATGTATTATTGTATGTATGTTGAGCTTCTTTCGCACTATACGCAGCCAACCGCGCTAATATGTATTGACAAACGTGTTGAGTTTTTGTTGTCGTTCATTGTGTTTGTGCACCGCTGCCAACACAGCAGCAGCATCATCATCAAATAACCTGTCAGGCACAAAGCAAAACGTTTCACTTTTTCCGACAATTCAGGCTAGAGAAACAAAACGCTGTTGCCATCTAGAGTTGACGTTTATCTAATGACCTAAATGAATAATATTCCTTTTAAGTGTTTAACCTTCATCAGTACTGGCATAAAAACAAATCCATCTTCAAATCGGCATTGTTAATCTACACTGGTGGTCTTAAAGAGGTCGGATAAGTTCCACATTCCTAAGGCAGGTGCCAGGATGTCCGTAAGACAGGCATGCAGCGTTGATTACCCAGACCACGTGGTGCAGTCTTACCAGATAGCAATCACGTGACTGACCATGGAGGGGTCACGGGTCAATGTGACCAGGCTGGGATGTGAACTCATCGTTTGAAGTCCTGCCGCTTCACATTATAATGCTCCACACGTGATACGCTAGTTCGTTGAGCTATCATTTGTGGCCAGGTCGCGTCTTAAAAAGAGGTATGTAGCTCAGTGGACCTTGGCTGGTAAAATATAAATACTCTTTGGTTCTTTCGGTAAAGTCACGTAGGTAGAGAAAATAATAGATCGCGACGTTTCGATCGCAACAACAAGCGACCGTCTTCAGGTGAAAGAATCGGACTGCTGTGGACGAGGCATTATATTGACCCGAGAGGGGGGGGCGGGAGGGAGATTGGGTTGCCGCATCGGGCAAGAGGGTGGGGGGGCCAGCGATTGTGAGGAACTTGTGAGCATGAGAGTGCACCTGAAGACGGTTGCTTGTTGTTGCGATCAAAATGTCGTGAACTATTTTTTTTTCTACCTACGTGACTTTACCGAAAAAACCAAAGAATATGGATTCCTGCAGTCACGAAAGCTTCAAATCAAGATTAAAATATAAATAGTTTATTTTTACTTATATTCTTGGTTCTTTCGGTAAAGTCACGTAGAAGGGAAATAATAAAATAATATTAATCAATAAAATTCTCACGACGTCTCAAATCAAAATTTATTTTCACTTGTTATATTTTTTCAGGTGATTTTTTTTTTACCTTTCCTTTGCACTCCTATCGTGTTTCTGTATTGTTTATTGTTGTCACGTTCTGACCTGCTACTACTGGACATCTGTTAAAAAGAGCTTTATACCTCATGGGATTCCTCCTGCAGTATAAATACATATTCTGACTCTATGCGAGCGGTCGAAAAGACTGCGGTTAAAACGCACTCCCAGAACATTTCGGGTAACGGCCCTCTGCAATCGTTCACTGCCAGCATGTTGTGAGCCCGCCCCCCCCCCACCCACCCCCGGTAGGCGGTTGCGATGGTGCAATATAATCAACGCCACCTCCCGCGAATTGGCATTCGAACATTTATTTGGCGAAAATAAAGAAGCGAAGAGCGAGCCAAATCACCGGCCCCGGCCCGCCCCCCCCCAAAGCCGACACGGAGTGGCAGCGCGCATTGGAGCGAGGATTGTAGGCGGTGCGTTTTGTATCCATTTATGGGCAGTGAGGCTCGTGTGTGTGTGGCAGCCGTGTTAATGGCATGTAATTATCTCTGCAGTATTGAAATTAAACCCTAAATTTAACTCGGATTTTAAATGTAGGCTCTCCGCGCTTAAAATGTTGGAGCAGCGACGAGTTCGGTAAACCCCGCTAAAGAGAGCAATGTGTCCCACACCTGTGGCACTCTAAGTTCAAACCCAGAACCAAGAGAATATGATGACGACTAAACGCTATCCTATTGAACCAGTGAATTAAACAAATAGTTTGGTGCTGTGCAGTTTTATTGACGAATGTATCCGGCAATGAGCCAATAGGAAACTTGCAAAACAATGCCTATGCACACATTATATGAAAACTCTAACAAAACCCAAGTACAAATTAACTCTTTCCCATTCCGATGACGTATGTGTACTGATGACGTACGTGTACGTCGTCAGTACACGTACATAACTAACGTAAATAAAATAACTTTATCAGTACAGAGGCTCCCACAAGGTCATGCGGGAGGGCGTGTGGCGCAGTGTCGTAGAGTGCGTTCGTGCCCCTACGGTTCTCTGCAGTTGGTATCATGTGTTTGAAAAAAACGGCGCTACTACGCCTCTCTTAATCAAATTGACGTTGAGCTGCTCACGAGTTCTGAGATTCAGCGGTGAACGGAACCCCCAACCACCCGGCAACTTGCAGACGTCTCAGAACGGGAAAGGGTTAACAACTCCCACACGCGACCACGTGCGACGTTCCGATTCTGACAAACGGCTCGACTTGCCAGCACGAAATCTGGCCGTGTCCTGTAGCCGGAAGAGCTGTGCCAGTCTCAACCTTGTTCAGGACAGGACTGGCTCTCGCCATTGTAATGTGGAATGTCCACAACTATTCACAGGGCCGCCGGTACTCGCCGGTCCTCCGCACTCGCTCGAGACGCTGACGTTCCTCTTATTATGAACCCCCCCCCCCCCCCCCCCCAACTGCCCCCCATCTACGGTTTTTATTTCGTAGCGATGATGAGCTAAGTTTGGTTGTGGCCATCAAAACAAAGACGATCACACGGCGCATCGCGCTCTTTCAGATACACTTCTGCGGCAGTCTGGAACGCTGGGAGCTATGGCACTTTTAAATCATCGAGATTCACAAACTCATTACTTTAGAATTAATCTTTGTGTTAAGTTTCTTGTCCTCCCCTCCCACGCACCTCCGATCATCGCAGTTGGCTAGGTACGGCACGAAAGAAGTTCAACAGACGTACAGTGCGACGCGCGATGACACGCGGACAGGCCGGGCGATGAGGAGTCGCGCGGCTTCAAAGTCACTCCCGCCGTCGTTCCTCTGCGAGCCGGTACCAATTTGGGTTTACGTCGTCACCATCATTGTCAACGACGGCACGCATTGTAAGTGACAGCCCGGGTGGGCTGGCTGAGCATAATAGTACGGAGCACTGGAGCCGATCGGAGAGATATTTTTGTTCCACGATCTCAGCGGTTGCCTCAGCTGTCACACCCGTGATTAAGAGTAAATGTTCAAACGTGTACACACACGCAGGATGCAAAGATTACCCAAACCGACGTACCAGAAAGAACAACAACAGCCTTCGCCATTCGCCACCAAGCGGCGGCGACGTCACCACAGTGCCTACGCCAGGCTAGGTGCACTTGGAGGCCACATGAGGTGTCGGCTGACAGGTCGTGGGACAGACCCAGGTGACATGGGTTGAGCCATTCTAGATATCCTACTCGATATAATAACATACAAAAACAAAGATGAACAGACTGTTGGGGCAAGTGCTGTTAGCGAGCACCTATGAAGGCCAGCACGGCATGGTTGAGCCATACTAGATGTCCTACTCGATATAATAACATACAAAAACAAAGATGAACAGACTGTTGGAGCAAGTGCTGTTAGCGAGCACCTATGAAGGTCAGCACGGCATGGTTGAGCCATACTAGATATCCTACTCGATATAATAACATACAAAAACAAAGATGAACAGACTGTTGGGGCAAGTGCTGTTAGCGAGCACCTATGAAGGCCAGCACGGCACACGAGGGGGTGAGTGGCCAACACCATACCTGGCCACCTTTGTTTCCCTAGTGGCGATGTTTAAACACCGCACCAGGTACTCATTTGAGGCTGAGTCGACCTAGGAGAGGCCCAGGACCGGTTCTGATAATCGTCATTGGTGTTGGCGGTCGTGAGCGGGAATCGAACTCGGGTCACCAGGTTCATAGCGCGGCGCGCTTAACCGCTACCCTACCCCTACCCATTCCCCCCTTCACACGCACACAGATTTAATGTCAGCATCCATAAACCAATTATGTACCTTGTCACAATGTGATGGCTAAAGAGGCTTTCCTGCCCAGGCAAGCCCACAACAAAAGGGGCCATTATCACAGAGGTCGTTGTTTAAAGACACTAAGAATTAGTTGCGGGTGATTTTCACATTTTCAGTCGACGCTACGACAGCTGCACACGATGAAACAATTTCCTAATGTTTCGCATTATTTCCCGGGACCTTTAACTTTTTGCCTTCGCAGCAGGATCACAGGTGGTCGACGTTGCATCTGGCTTGACGTGAAACTGCCAAACGCTCGAGTTTTTCCATAGCGAGAGCGATAAGCAACAGGCTGTCTAGTCGTGACACGTATAGTGCTACCTACCAATGAGGTGTTTTATACGAGTACACACACAAGCCAAGCATAGTATCCGCGTATTTGACATGGAGAAGTGGTCGCGTGTCCACAGCTTGCTGCGGAAGTTCCCCGTTCAAATTCGGCAGCCACCCTGGTTAATACTGCAGATTTAATAGCCAATAAACACGTGCCGTCTGCTTGACAGTGGACTTTAAAGATCTCCTGAGGTCACTGGCAAGAGCAGGCCACACTCTGTGCCAGCGCCGTGGTCCGAATTTTTGGTCCAAAACCCGCAAATTACTTAATTGGGAACAACAACCGCCACCAACGGCGCTTGTGCCAGGCTATGTGCATGTTAAGGCCACATAAAGTGCCGAACGCCCGCTGGCAGCAGGTCATGGAACAGACCCAGGTGCCATGGGTTCACAATTGGGAACACACACATACGGCGGCAAAAATGATCATGATTAAACGTCACACACCGAACTGAACGGACAAACATCCCGATGCAGAGCCTTCACGAAGAAGCAACTTGAAACCCACGAGGGCTGACATTTGTAAATAAATAAATGAATGTTGAACTTATTTCGCCTCGTACGTAGCCAACCGTGAAACGCACAAATCAGTCCTACAGAAGTGACTTTTCAATCCAGAAATAAACAGCGATTGCTTAAAACAATAATTTTTTATGGGCGGTAAAAGGCTTTTCCTAGAAACGCGGGTCCCAAACTGTGGGCCAGAGACCACCGGAGGCCCCGTGAAGCGCCGACGCAAGCCGACGGCGCATGAATGGCAGGAAGAGGCCTCCAAGTAAACTTCCTGCGCTGGATCCAATCTCCCCACCCCCTTCCCCACCCCCCGGTCTTCCGCAGTTCAGGGACACGATTTGCGCAAGAGGTGCCCCCCCCCCACCACGTCCCTACCTCCCCGCCCCCCCTCCCTCCGTTTTAGAATAAGAATCCGCACACCTGCGTGACAAGCGGCGTTTCCTTCAGCCCCTTCCGGGGGGGTCACCCTTCCTCATCCCCCCGCTTCGCCCCCCACCCCCCCCGTCCACACCGCGTGTCCCGCTTGCGAGCCGCACGGTGGGAGGGAGGCGTTGGTGTTGAAGCGGCGAGTTCTCACCCGAGGGGGAAGCGGGGTTAAATTAACCGACCGGTGTTTTTTATTTATTTTGACGCATCGTAAACACGCACAAAAAAACCCCCGTCTTTTGTGAACGGCGGCCGCACAGGTGTGCGCCGTTTCGTTGTTGGGCAAAGGGCTATTTGGAAGGGACCACCGCTGCAGGCTTCGTCACACGCCTTTAAAACACAGGGCCCGACCCCTATAGGTGTGAGAAACGAGCCTCGGAAGCAACAGATTTATGAACAACTTATCCGGTGATACTGCGTTGGCAGTCATGCCCTTGCACAAGTAAAACGAAACTCAACACGTTCATCAACAACAACAACACTGCATGTGGCCTTAAAAGTAAAAAAAACCAAATGTAATATTTGACGTTTTGGGCAATGGCCCTTCAGAGCACGTGACATAACCAACGACATCCTGGCACGCTAGGGCAATGGATGCGCCATCACTTCTGGTTCAATAATTCTACTTCGTGGCAGCCTCGATGATGGGTTGACTGATTGGTACGGAGATGTGCACGACACCCACACTGGCCTGGTTGGCGAGGTGGCGTACAGTGGAGGGCAGGACAACGAGTTGGTTGCTACCAACGTATCCCCTGCCGCGCTGTTTGAGCGGGGGGATTTCCTTGTTTGTGTGGCCTCTGTCCGGGCAATTTCCTCACTTTGCTTCACCGGGCATAACAAGACTCATAATAGATAGATTATATACAAATATTCCAAATGAAATCGTGTGAAAATAAAATAAATGAATCTGGAAACCCACCAAGGCTTTCCGTGCATCAAGTGAGGAGGATTGTCATGGAAATACTGACAACACGTATTGGATATGAGACTTCATTTTCCATGTTCTCAGTTTGTAGCGTTTGCCTCTGGCTGTTAAACAAAGTACGCACGAGCTATGCAAATGACACGCATGACCCATTTGACATAATCCCAAAAAACCTCTGATGCCTATGGTGCTCACTTTGTTAATCCCAGAGAGATGTAGGAGAGGAGGGGGGGCTCATTCAACCCGTGATGTGCATTTAAACTCAAAACTTTACCTATGAGACCTGCACTCCCTTACCAACTGGCGGGACATTTAACAATCCGCGTTATATTTTTGCGCCCAGTTTAACGTTGGGCTTATTGAAACCTAAACTGCCGGGGGTTCACGAAGAGTGGGGCCAGGAAGAGCATCCGTGGAAATCTCCAATTAGGAATACAAGGGGACAATCGTGTTACAGTCCAGAGGCTTTTTTTCTACGCGTAACAACGTACATTGGGAGCGAGCGGTGTTGCAGCCTTTTGAACGCTTCGATCCACAAAAACAAAAGGACTCCAGAAGAACAAAAAAGTTCTGTGTTGAGCCAAGCCGTGAGAGCTGGCGTGGCTGCCAGCAGGGAGGGGGGGACAAGGTGGAGCCGTACGTATGCTAATGTGATAACGAGGAAAAATGATACATCGCTGGGAAAAATAACGAGCGTCTCTCAGTGTTTAAATTGGTGTCACTTCCAAAGCGGTTGTGGGCTGCTCGCAGCCACTACGAGCCACTGAGCCGTGTGGATTGGTTTTCAAAAAGGTCCTGAAAGGGCTTCCCAGAATTTTGGGGCTATGCCACGTTTGTTATTTGTGTGTGGTTTTTTGCGTTTGTTATTTTGTAAAAGCTTAAGGGCCTCTAATGTAATCGCTCCTTTCACTCCGCCCTGCGATTCGTCCGATTCCAGTGACCTGCGCTGTGAATTCTGATCGTACTTGACCACCTTTTTTGGCACTCATTCTACGAACATGGTCCACAGCGCCTCCACAAGGTCACCCCTCAGGCTGAAGCAGAAATTAGTTCCCCCCCCCCCCACTCCCCACTGCTGTGCCGTGTAAATATCATCGCCCCGGGGGGGTGAGGCAAAGGTGGCCGCGGTGAAATGGCCACACCGCCCCAACCGTATCCCTTTTTCCACCACGCCGGCTGTTTTTCCACTGGCCTTCCTCTGCCGGGCCGAGCCAGAACCAAACCGTCAAACTCTGACCTCACGAGGCGTCCGGATCTAACTGTGGGCCCAAACCAGGGCCAAGGGTGGCCGCTGTTAATCGACTCGTTCACTGCTCGTGACGTCAGCGGTACGGCTCGGCTTCCGCAGTGGAAAAATAATCTCACACCTCCCTTGAGGCACGCCAGGTTTGTTTTAGCATGGCCTCTGGTGTGGATCCGATGTTTATGTACGGTATGTTGTATGTATGTTTAACTTATTTCGCACTGTACGTAGCCAAGTGTGCTAATTGCAGGTGCGGGTTGTACTATGGGAAGCAGGTGCTCGCATGCCATGCCAGACTAAAAAGTAAAACAAAAAATCGAAGTGATTTCCTACTCAATTAATTGGAGGCATTGGTGCTCACCTCTTGTTTATAGCCCTGCGAAGCATGACAAGCCACTTCGGTGAGCTATCATTCGTGGCCAGGTCACTTCTGAAAAAGAGCCAGTGGGCCTTACCTGGCCAACCATTATATAAACGGAGTGGTAGCTCCTGCAATCTCTCATTTACTTGATACAGCTGTCGTTGCTGTGACGGTTCCACCTGAAGACGGAAGCTTGTGTTGCCTCCGAAACGTCGTGATTTTTTATTTTATTTTACTTTTATTAATTTTAATGTTTTACCTACGTGACTTTACCGAAAAAACCTAAGAATACAAATAAAAATAGTTTATAGATTGTATTTTGCACACGTTGAACTTCTTTCGCAGCGCACCTATCCAAACGTGCTTATTTGGTGGAGGTGTGCGGGGCCGGAAGGACAACAAAAGTTGAGCCGTACCAGACGAGCCTCTGCCCACGCCTCCCTCGCCGAGTCCCTTGCTCATCCTCGACGTCCCCGTCAGCTCCAGGTCGCCCATGTCCTCCGCAATCTCGCTCATGCTGCGCGCCGCCGGGATCTTCGCCTGCGTCGACAAAGATACGCGGCGGCGGTTAGACCCAGGGGCGTTCGCGGCGCTACCGACGGAGTCGAGAAGGGGGTTGGTTGGGAGGAGGAGGGGGGGGGAGGATGCTGGCGTGACCAAACGCATCGTCGGCACGTCGCTCCGAATGCCGCCCTTGCGCTCACGGCGCATGATCTCACGTCGTAGCTCGCAAGAAGATGATTGGATTAACACGCAGGCTTTCCAAACGTGTATTTTGGAATAAAATTATTGTCTACGGACTTGATGCAAAAGTCACGTGGCGCAGACTCCACACCGCTACGCTCGGGCTGGGACGCTGCCGTGAAGGCGTGGTTGGTCCAGAAGGTCACCGGTTCGATGTCCCGGAGTGGCAGTTGAAGTAATTGGCAATAATCTTGAATCACCACCCCCCCCCCCCAATCCCACTCTCTGCCTAGCCAGCTGTATTAATGAGTACACTATATCTTCTTGGTTCTTTCGGTCCATTCAGACTCTGTCTTCTCGACAGACCTATTCTTCACCTGAGGACGGCTGCTTGCGTTGTGGCCGAAACGTCGTGAGAATTATTTTATTATGTTTTATTTTTTATTATTTTATCATTTCCATTCTACATGACTGTACCGAAAGAACCAAGAAGATGAATCCCTGCAGTCACGAAAGCTTTAAATCGAGTACACTATAGTCGATCGGCAGATCTTACGTGGTGGGGTAAAGTGTGGGTTCTCCCACGTCTTGCGAGACGTCTGACCGGCATGGACGAGTAGGCCAAATACCCTCTTAGAGGGGCAGTCTATAGAGCTCGCGAGCAGTTGTGCGAGCAAAACATTTCAGGACTGCACCTATAGCTCCACTTATAAACTTTGGGGCGCCATGGTGGCGAGATGTGAACTACCTCGCCTGGTGTGCGGGAGGTCGTGAGTTTGATCCCGACTCTTGATGCCTGCTGCATATATCAAGTTTGCATGTCTCTCTCGTTCTCCTCGTGGTTCCGTGGATTTTTCTCCGGGTCCTCCGGTTTTTCCGTCCACATTTAGAATCAGGTATTTGGCTGCTATAAATGTCCACGCGATTAGCTACTTCGTTGAGCTATCATTTGTGATAGCCAGGTCGCTTCTGGAAAGAGCTGTATAGCTCAGTGGGCCTTACCTGGTAAAATAAACATAGTTCGTAGTTTTAGTTTAATTTAACTTGCGCTAAAGCGAACCAAGCAGTCCAGATGCTGCCGGCTTGGACCAGGTTGTGATCACTTTTTGGCTGTTTGTACTTTCTGTTTTGATGCCATTTCTGAATTTGTTTATTCATTTCTGATTTAGTTTGGTAGTAGGGTGTTGGGCTTGATAATTGTTTTTTTACCCTTTTAATCTGGCAACAAAACTGACACCTTTTTTACAAGGAGTCATGTTTGCATTGACCACAATACCTGCGGTTGGAATGCAAACAAAAAACACAACTCTGATAATGTATGCACTGTCCTTGAAATTGATTGCTCCACACCCGAGACAGCTTTTCTTAGAGCCTAGTCTCACGTGGTGTTGGACCATGTGAGATTACGCCTTTTTGCGTCAAGGGTAAAAAAACAATTATCATATTTTTCTCCTGGAAAAGGAGGTTCCAATGATGTTGGGCTTCTTTCGCACCGTACGCAGATGACCGCAGTGCATGGGATTTGGTCCTTTAGAAATAATTCATCTACAGCGTTGTGGGATGCTGTTGGCATGAATGATGCGATATAAAATGAAAGTATTATTATTACTACCATGGGAATAACGGGCCAAGCCAACTTGCTCTGTTTGAGAACCAGGGTGGGGGTGGGTGGGTGGGGGTGGGGCCGCCCCCCCCCCACCCACCGCCCCCCCCGCTGCCCCCCCCCCGCCGACCCCCCCCCCCGCCAACCCCCCCCCCCCGCCGCCCCCCGCCGCCCCCACACCAGTAGGCACGCGGGAAAAGCCTCTCCTTACCTTGTTCTGCTTGCGGTCGAGGTAGAACTGATGCTGGCTTATGGCCATAGCCCACACGGCCTTGATGAGCGACGGGGTGCCGTACCAGGAGTGCACGACGATGTCACCCTGCCCGAACGAACGGCGGCCCACTGACGCCCTGCAAACAAAAATAATGAATAAACACAAAGGAAATTAAAAAAATACAAAACCGCACGGAATAAAGGAAAATGACTAAATAGATGGATTTCCAGGTAGCCTTGTGGCTGTTAGTGTTAACCCCTTTTTTAAATTCTTTATATTAAGTTCACTTGCTTGCTTGCTTGCGCGCTTACGACCGTGCAAATTTTTCGGTCGTTTTTTAACCCACTTCCCGTGATCCAATCGAGCTGACATTTTGCACACAGACTCGTTGTGCGTGACAATTTATTTTCGTTTTTTAGGAAAAAATTAATTATATTTAATTACCAATTGCTTAATGGTGGCAGGCAATCATCTGACCCATAGGTGGCAGCCATCTCAAGCCAGAGGACGAGAGGACTCTAGCCGCCACGCATATAAAGGATTTATAGTGAATAACTTTGTTTTTACGGGTTAATTTTTTTACATACTACATGGCCATGCTTGACAACATATGTATGGTTCCTTCCCCTGAACCTCCAATTAGCACGGTTGGCTACGTACGGCGCGAAAGAAGTTCAACGTACATGCATACAGAAGAGATGCTGTCCATGCGGCACTCACACGTTTTTCTTCACGCCAGCAGTTTTCATACAATGCAAACGAAACTATTTTTTTAATTTTACCACGCAAGGCCCACCGAGCTATTTAGCCATTTTTCAGAAGCGACCTCACCTCAAATGATAGCTCAACGAAGCATGTATATATGTATCCATAACTGGTTTCGCACCGTACGTAGCAAGCCATGCAAATCGGAGGTCGCTTACCGTGTTGAAATCTATCGCAGCCAAATACTCTAAATGCACGTCGGTTCTAAATGTTTAGGGAAAAGCCGGATGGACCCGGAGAAAAATCTACGCAACCGTGGGGAGAGAGAGAAACGTGCAAACTGCATATCTACAGCAGGCATCAGGGTCGGGATCGAACACACGACCCGCTGTATACCAGGCGAGGGAGTTAACATCCCGCTATCGTGGCCCCCCCCCCCCCACCGAGCGTGCCGGGAGATCACACGGCCGCACGCCCGAACCAGAGTTCGAGACGACGATGTGCCCTGCGGAGACAGCTCGGGTAGTCGGTTGAACGCACAGCCCTCTCCTGCCCCTGCCCTCCACTTCCTCTTCCGCGAGACATTCACGCTCTTGGGCAAAAGACGCGCGCTCGCATTCTCAAAAAACCCCGCCGGCTAGCTCAGCGGGCGAGAGCGTAGCGGCTCAGAAAATCAGAAGGTTGACCGACTGTAAAACTAAACTAAGCACTTTTTTCGATTTTACCAGGTAAGGCCCACTGAGCTAAACAGATCTTTGTCAGAAGCGACCTGCCACGAAGGATAGCTCAACGAGAAGTGCCTTATTATCATCACGTGAAAATTTACAGCAGCCAAATACTCTAAATGCACGTTAATTCTAAATGTGGAGGGAAAAAACCGGAGAAGCCGGAGAAAAATCCACACGCTCACGGGGAGAACATGCAAACTCCTAATATACGGCGTCAGGGTTGGGACCGAACCCACGACATCCTGCATACCAGGCGAGGTAGTTAACATCTGGCCACTGCCATCATCATCATTGCACGGTCGGTAAACTAAGTCTCTGCGGGGCAGTCAACAACAGCGGTTGGTTTCGTTGGAGGAGAGACTCGCCACCACCATAGGAATGTGGAATTTCCACCAAGTGGCTCTGCAGGGATATAAACGAATGAGATGAGCGAACCGCATCTATGCTCGTTTGAGCAGGAACGCACGCTTCGACTTCACGAGCGTATTCTCAAGAACCCGTGAATGCATCTCTCTCTCTCGGAGGGTAGCGGCAGCGGGCGTGTGCCGTGTGCCTGCGCTATCGACCAAGTTAATCACGTGTCCTGAAAGCGCCGACCATGCTGTAACACGAATCCCAGCCCATTTACTGGAGTACCCTTCAATTGAGCAGTCTACTGCACCAGTGAGCATCTGCCCCCCCGTAAAAAAAGCTCTGTATACGCGCGTGTGCTTTTTGCGCATGCGTATGTGTGTGCGCGCGCGTAGAAATGTACACGTGTATTACGCCCACGAGTTATCGGTAAAACGTACGGTTTAATATTATTGTAAAAATCCAAGGGGGACGTGGCATCTACAGGCTGCGAATTTCACGTGGAATTTTACGATGAAAACGATCACAGCGTAAAATGAATATGTTTTAATTATCAGCGAAAAAGGGCCATTATGCAAAACGTCACCTATCATCGACATTTCCTTTAAAGGCCACGGAGTTTTATGTTTTGCAAAGTTGTCCTCATTCTCAGCGGTGGGGGGTCCGTTCTGAGCCAGTGGTGTACATTTGACATTTTCAGTTGTTTCGCACGCAACATACTTTTGGGGCAACCGTGGATGACCACGGTTCATTTTGTGGCAAAGCAACGCTCCTCGTATTACCAACTGCAGCGAGACAATGGGCCACAGGTTGTTACCCCCGAACGGGATTGAAACTTGCAACCATCATCGTGAGCCAAGCACTCTTATCACACCTATGCTTTAAACCACAACGCTACGAATCAGCTCATAGTGAGCGCTTGTTTGTGCCAAGCAAGGCCCCACAACAGTTTGACAAGTAGGCTTTCGCGACCAATATCATCCATAAGAGAGGTTTTTTTGGGTTAGATCGCGTAAATATATAAATTGGTGCGTCCTCTGGTCGAGCACCAATTGGGTCGAGGCTCAAAAGAAAGCCGTCCCTTGGTGTGGACCAATATTATCATAGTGTGTTTTTTGTTTGCATTTGACTGCAAGTATTGTGGTTAATGCAGACATGAATCATCGTAAAAAGGTTTCAGTTTTGTTGCCAGAAAAAAGGGGAAAACCCCTATTATTATATTTTGGTACTGGCAAAAGAGGTCTAATGATTTCGATTTAAAGCTTTCGTGACTGCAGGGATTCATCTTCTTGTTTCTTTCGGTAAAGTCACGTAGAAGGGAAGTAATAAAATAATAAAAATAAAACATAATAAAACAATTCTCACGACGTTTCGGCTACAACGCAAGCAGCCGTCTTCAGGTGAAGACGGCTGCTTGCGTTGTAGCCGAAACGTCGTGAGAATTGTTTTATTATGTTTTATTTTTATTATTTTATTACTTCCCTTCTACGTGACTTTACCGAAAGAAACAAGAAGAAGGTCTAATGATGTTCCCAGTATAGCCTTCAACATACTTTTGGGGCAAGTGCTGGTAGCGAGCACCTATGAAGGCACACGAGGGGGTGGGTGGCCAACACCACGCCCAGCAGCCTTTGACTCTCAAGTGTTTACATCTCATACCAAGTGATTTTTTAAAGGCTGAGTTAACCCAGGGGAAAGCCCAGGACAGGCTCAGATATTACAGGTAGGAACAACAGTTCCACACTGCCCACCAGGGATTATTTGTCTGTCTGTCGTGCATAGCCTCGCCCTCAATTCGTATTTCATAGAGCGCTTCTGGCGGACTCAGCACCACGTGACGCGCCGCCCCACGCAGCTTGCGCCGCGTGACACGGATCGCACGAATGCGCCGTCCAATCAAGTTCCTACCTGCCCACTCCGAAGGAACGTGTTCGCCACTGTGATCGGCCGTAAGCGGGAATCGAACTCGGCTGGCCGGGTTCGTAGCGCATTGCGCTAACCACTACACTACCTCTCCTCACAAGCGGCGGTGTAGTGCTTAGCAAAACCCAACATACACGGACGCGTAGGAGCATAAAGATGAAAACATGAACACACACAGAAGGGAAAAAAAAAACCCAAAACAAGAAATGAATGTGGAAGAGCAGCCGTAACCCTCGTTAGATAAAGATGGGCTCTTTTGCACTTGAAGGGGCCTCCGTGCATCTCGAGAGCCGGTGGTTTATCTTCATTAGGATTGATGGCGTGTGCGATACGTTTCATTTACCACTCGGCTGGCTTAACAACCACGTGCCGCTTTCAGTGGTCGGCAACCGCCCCCCAAACCCCCCCCCCCCCCCTCTCTGAATGCGGGGCGCAAAATCGAAGGAGGCATCGCATTTCGTTCGTTCGCAGTTCCGCAAAATCAAAAGTCCAAAGTCAAAAGTGTCTCTCTCTCGTTCTGCTGCTGGTTAAGCCACAGCAACGCTAATTCCACATTCCAATTGCGGGAGCCGGGGTAGACGCGGACTTTCCATCCGTTGTGTGGCAGACAATGGGAGCACCCGGAGCTAAAGACATCGGCAACCTTATCGTCTGTGCCGCCACCTTTATGGTCACCTCACTGCCCTGCAAGTTGGAAGCATCACGCACGCAATATTGATGATGATTATTATGAAGATGGTGATGTTGATGTTCTTCACACGAACCGTCAACACAACCTTAAAACCTGTTGGAATACGAGCTCGGCGATGTCCGCTCCGTAGAATATTGCCCAAGAGATTCTCGTGAAGCTGGCGATAAACGAATGGGGACTAATTTTTTTTCCCGAAAACTTTCCTGTAATTGTGTCCCACTGCGAGACGTTGCCACCACACCGTTCGACGCTCTTATCTTGCGATGCTGCCGCTGCGTTGCTAGTGTGTGTGTGTTGAACTTCTTTCGCACCACACGTAGCCAACCGTACTAATCGGAGGTGGTGCACAAGCACAATCAACAACAACAGCAACTCAACACGTTGGTCAATAATAACACTCCGTGTGTGTGCGGCCATTAAAAGTAAAAAATAAAAATATTATAGGCGATGCTTTGGGCAGTGGCCCGTCTTCATGGCACTAATTTTTTATTTTATCAGGTAAGACCCACTAAGCTATGTAGCTCTTTCTCAGAAGCGACCTGGCAACAAATGATAGCTCAACGAATCGGCTTCTCATGTGGAAATGTATAGCACGCGACCACGGGGAGAGACACGCAAACTCCAAATATACAGCAGGCGTCAGGGTCGGGATCGAACCCACGACCTCCTGTAAACCAAGCGAGGTAGTAAACATCTCGCCACAGTGTAGTGCCCTTAAAGTGATTGACGATGTTGTTGTTATTGACGAACGTGTTGAGTTTTATTGTTAAATGTGCCCGTGCATCACTGGCAACGCAGCAGCGGCGACCGACCCGCGTCTCGTGCGCGCGGAAGGGAGCATTCGCGATTAATCTTACCGGCGAGGGTCGTGCACTTCCACGGAGAACTTCTTCTCGCGGAAGAAGAGGTTTTCTAGCTGCGCCCAGTGGAAAACCTGGAACACAGGGTGAGAGTGAGTGCGTTGGGGTGAGGAAAGCTCCAGCACAGCTCCTGCAGGGCGGAGTGCAGAGAGTGAACCTCGCTTGCACCCATCGCTTGCACCCATTGCTGTCCACCCTGCTGCCACGTGATCCATCAGCTGCCAGCTACGGGTCACACAGACTGGCACGTTCCACAGCTTCTCTGTGGAAGGATCCGCAAGCTCCTCGCCCCTCGCCCCTCGCCTACAGCGCCTGTTTTTCGTGGGGTGGTCGCCCATCCGAGCACTATCCAGGATCAAGGCCTGCTTAGCTTTGGTGATTTGCCTCGGATGAACAACGGGCTGAATGGTGCACCTCCCAACCGGGATTTGAACTTATAACCTTTTGGATTGTGAGGCCCTCTCCCACCGCGCACTCAGCTGGAGATGTATGCCACGCTGTGTACATTGACGAACCCCCTGCATTTTAAAAACGAGAAAAGAGGTCGCCGCAATGAACGGGCACAGATCCTCGCTTCTCATTCACGTGCAGCTGAGCTGTCGGGCGAATCGAGTTAATTTCATAACTTAGCAAACACAATATAGATGTTGGCACACCGCTAAATGGTACACGCAAGATAAAGATTTACTTGTCAACCATTCCTTTAAAATCTGCATTCTTGCATTGACGTATGTCATAAAGATTTACTGTATTTAGATTTGATTTTAATAGATTTATTTTTTACAAAAAGTCTAACACATACATACAGTGGTACGAGATATTTCTAAATAAAAGTAGCTTATAAATTATACATTAACAGAATATGTGATTACACGCGCTAATAAGATAAAATACTGAAATTATGAAGCAATTATACAGGCGCGATTAATAACCAGTTTCTAAAACATTTTGACCATCACTCATGTAGTCTATGGACTGCAGAGTGCATGTGTGCGTGTGTGTAGCGGTTAGCGTGCTGTGCTACGAACCCGGAGACCCGAATTCGATTCCCGCTCCCGGCCACCAACACCGGTGACGAATATCTGAACCGGTCTTGGGCCTCCCCTAGGTCGACTCAGCCTCAAATGAGTACCTGGTGCGGTGTGTGAACATCGCCACTTGGGAGACGAAGCTCGGCCGGGCGTGATGCTGGACACCCAGCCCTTCGTGTGCCGTGCCGGCCTTCATAGGTGCTCGCTAACACCACTTACCACAACAGTCTTTTAAGGCTATACGGGGGAATATTTGTCTGTCTTTGTGTGTGTGCGTGTGCGTGCTCATCACTCCGTGTGACAAGGCCGATCGCAGGTGCGTGGTTGTAATGTGCGAACAATTTCTAAATAGCTGTTTTCGCATCTAGGCCTTTTGTCAAAGGCCCTTTGAAATGCTCTTTGCATGCCGTGTTTGGTGGGTAACTTGACGCTGCTCCCTTGACGCGGGGATTTCGACAAGGATCCTCATCGCAAGGGCTCTACGCTCTTTCCCCCACTCCCCCTCGAGTGCTCGACGCTTTTTGTGCTTGGTTTGTTGCCCTTCCCCTGCGCCACCGATTAGCACGGTTAGCTACGTACGGACGGTGCGAAAGAAGTTCAACGTAAAAACATACGAACAGCACGGTGAAGCATGCTCAAACAACCCCCATTGCCGACGCAGTGTGGGGGACGCCTTCAACCAGCAGTGGATTGATAAAATGTCTGTAAATTCTGGTCAAGGTTTGACTCTGTCTATCATACCTTCCGAGTTCGATAAAACGATTGCCACTTTGTGAGAAGTCAACATTGCTCGTCCCACGGAGAGATACAGGAATGTGGAATTTCCACCATCGGCTCGCGAATGAGCGCCGTCCCTTTTTTAAATCCTTTATATTAAGTTCACTTGCTTGCTTGCTTTCGCGCTTATGACCGTGCAAATCTTTGCACACATACTCGTTGTGCGTGACAATTTCTTTTCGTGAATTTTTTTTCAAAAATTTTATACTTTTTAGGTAAATTTTTTTATATTTAATTGCCAATTGCTTAATGGTTGTAGGCAATCATCTGACCCATAGGTGGCAGCCATCTCAAGCCAGAGGACGAGAGGACTCTAGCCGCCCGTTTCAAAGACCAATGTGGGCTGGGTTGTGGTCCATTGAACACGCATATAAAGGATTTATAGTGAAAAACTTTGTTTTTACGGGTTAATTTGTATTGTTTGAGCGTAAAGACAAATCACCTGCCATTGTGACGCATCTATCATTCATAATCCAAGTATTTATCGATGAAAAAATAAGAATAGGCCTTACCCTTTCTGGCAATAAAAACAGGTGTTAAGATGTCCAAACACCAAACAGATACCTATTGGAAGGCATCAAGTCTATTGTGGCCAAGAAAAATCACAGGGCTGCAATAGTCCCAGTGAGAATGAAACTAAATGCACCAATGTGGCCGTAAACATATGGCAGAGAGCAAACACCGTCACCAAACGGCTTATTTAATGGCCACTCAATCACAAGGTCTAAACGGGAATCTGTGGGTCATCCTCTAAAACCCACCAGCAGTGGCCCTTTAAACAACAAAGGTCTACTTGTGTCCAATTGTGACAAAGTAACACAAGGCCCAAACAATGGGCTCCCCCCCTCCCCCCCAGGCCTTCCCTGGCAAAGTCGCCACTGCAAGAGAGGAAAGCGAGAGAGGAGGAGGAGGAGGTGGGGTGTGAAGTCAATAAGGCTCAGCGTGCATCTTCAGGACTCAAGGGCTCTTCTTTGCAAGCTTAAGGGAGGGATAACCTGGCAGTGTTTTCAAATGCACGTAGCGTGTGTCTCTCATCTCCTCCCTTCGCCATGCAAATTGGGATGGGGGGGGGAGTGTGGGACTTGGTGCTCAAGACCGCTTAAAGCAGGGGTGTCCAAACCTTTTTGCAAAGAGGGCCACATTTGATAAAGTGAAGATGCCCGGGGGCCAATAGTTCCTTTTGACATTTTTTAACCACAAAAGTTACGCGGAAACACACACTGTTATAAAACAATTTCATTGTCACAATTACCTTTATTTTTCAAATGACAATGTAACCAAATATAAGCCACTCAGGCAGACGTGAACAACTCTAAAAACGCAATTCTGCCTTTCATTCAGTCAGATAACATTGAACAAACTGTATAGAATACCTTAAAATTCCATGAGTTTTATGATGTATTTATTCTGACAGAGCTGGCGAGCCATAACTAACACGTTATAAGACCGAAGCTGCGGTCCATATGAAATCTGACCGCGGGCCGTGATTGGCCCGTGGGCCGGACTTTGGACATGCCTGGCTTAAAGAGTCGAAAGTGAATCAGAATCAGAATTTTTTTATACTTGGAGGAGGAATCCGATGAGCTATGAAACTATTTTTCACAGATGCCCAGTTCGAGGGCACAGGGTCCCAGAACGTTACAGCAACAAACAGTACAAAACACAACAGGAGTGCAAAGTATAGGAAAGGTAAACAAATCACTTAAAAAAAAATAATGACTAAACTATTTTAATCTTACCAGTTAAAGCCCACTGAGCTATTAGCTTATTTTTCAGAAGTGACCTGGCCACAAATGATAGCTCAACAAAGTAGCTTATTACGTGAAAATTTATAGCAGCCAAAATAATCGAAATCATATAAATGCAAACGAGGCAGCAAGCGAAGCCAAGAGTGGATGGCGCGTCTGTGTACCGTACAGATATAAGGAAAAAAACGAAGATGCTCATCGCTAAATTCTATTACAAATATTTGCATTTTATTCAGCCCCATCCATCGACTGCCAACGGTTTATATTCGTACACGTTTGGTTTCTGGCAACACACAGAAACGTGTGCATAAAGCAGTCCCCCCCCCCACACTTTGCCCGTTATGCAACAAAAACCATTGGCGGTTCCTGAAGAACTGCATTTGTCCAAGCCAGGTTGGAACCAGAGGTCGCAAACGGGTTTTGATTCCTTACCTGTACCCGTACCTGGCCGCACCAGGGTCGCAAATGGGTACCCGTACCCGGCCGGGTACCCGGCCGGGTACGGGTAGCCGGGTATCGGGTAGGGTACGGGTATCGGGTACCCGATTGCGACCTCTGGTTGGAACCGTTGGCCCAACGTTGACCAGTTGATGTTCCATGTGAGACTCAGAGTTTCCCATAAAATTGTAACTTTTTTGTCTGTCATGATGAGTATTCTTGTCATGGACAAGTTTGACACGCTGAAAAGGCAAAGCCTGCCAGTGTGTGGCGCCTCTCGTGGCTTGTAGGTGAGTTCATCTGCCGAGTGCACGCCGTATGTTACAGTAAGCCGAACTTCTTTCGCACCCCACATAGTCAACCGTGCTCATCACGGATTCTCACGGCCGTTCTGACCAGGCCGACCGAACGGCCATAGCCGGGCTATGCTGCTCACTTCAACTGGGCCGAGCGAGGCTCGCTCTCTTTGCCAAAGGTGGAGCTACCGGCAAGAAAAAAAGAAGAACAGGGGTTTTACCCTTTCTGGCAATAAAACAGGACGTGTTAAGATGTTCAAACACCAAATAGAAACCTTTTGCAAGGAATTAAGTACTGCATTCACCGCACGTACTTGTGGTGAGCATGCAAGCAAACACCCTCTGATAATTATATGTGGCATTGTATTTGAAACTGATTGGCCTACACAAGAGACAGCCTTCTTTATGGCCTAGTCTCACCAGTGTCAGACCAGCGAATGCCAAAATGTGAACAATACAAAGACAATGCCACTACCAGAGCATTTATAGCTCGGGGTGAACAGCTACATCATGAGACCTTTTTGCCAGTATCAAAGTATGACAAATAAGAATGGTCATACTTTGGGCTACCGGCGTTCGTTCAGCCGGGCCGCCCTCAGCAGCACTTTGTAATGCCGTGGGTGGACGCAGTAGTGGCACGCGTGCCGCGAACACTGCGGTCCCTCTGCGCATGTAGGTCAAACCTCGGGGGTGTTTTCTTTCTTTGAAAAAAAAAAGCGTAGCCCAAAGCTTACAAAAGTAAAAAAAAAATGTTTGGGCTTCTACACTGCCGTATTAATGCATG